TTTCGTTGGAAAATTAAGCATGTTGTGTTTTGTTGGGAACTTAGGCATGTTGTGTGTTGTTGGAAAATTAAGCATGTTGTGTGTTGTTGGATAATTAAACCTGTTGTGTTTTGTTGGATAATTAAACCTGTTGTGTTTTGTTAGAAAATTAAGCATGTTGTGTTTTGTTGGAAAATTAAGCATGTTGTGTTTTGTTGGGAAATTAAGCATGTTGTGTTTTGTTGGGAAATTAAGCATGTTGTGTTTTGTTGGAAAATTAAGCATGTTGTGTGTTGTTGGATACTTGAGCATGTTGTGTTTTGTTGGATACTTAAACCTGTTGTGTTTTGTTGGGAAATTAAGCATGTTGTGTGTTGTTGGATACTTAAGCAGGTTGTGTTTTAATGGATAATTAAACCTGTTGTGTTTTGTTGGGACATTAAGCATGTTGTGTTTTGTTGGGAAGTTAAGCATGTTGTGTTTTGTTGGATACTTAAATCTGTTGTGTTTTGTTGGATAATTAAACCTGTTGTGTTTTGTTGGATACTTAAGCATGTTGTGTTTTGCTTAAAAATTTAGCATGTTGTGTTCTGTTGGTTAATAAAGCATGTTGTGTTTTGTTGGAAAATTAAACCTGTTGTGTTTTGCTTGAAAATTTAGCATGTTGTGTTCTGTTGGTTAATTAAGCCTGTTTGTTTGAGAATTAAGACTGTTGTGATTTGTTGGATAATTAAACCTGTTGTGTTTTGTTAGATAACTAAATCTGTTGTGTTTTGTTGGAAAATTAAGCATGTTGTGTTTTATTAGATAATTAAACCTGTTGTGTTTTGTTAGGAAATTAAGCATGTTGTGTTTTGTTGCAAAATTAAGCATGTTGTGTTTTATTGGATAATTAAACCTGTTGTGTTTTGTTGGGAAATTAAGCATGTTGCGTTTTGTTGGATAATTAAACCTGTCGTGTTTTGTTGGATAATTAATACTGTTGTGGTTTTTTGGGAAATTAAGCATGTTGTGTTTTGTTGGGAAATTAAGCCTGTTGTGTTTTGTAGGGAAAATAAATCTGTTGTGTTCTGTTGTATAATTAAGCATGTTTGTTGGAGAATTAAGATTATTGTGTTTGTTGGAGTATTAAGCCTGTTATGTTTGGTGGAGAATTAAGCTTGTTTTGCTCGTTGGATAATTAATACTGTTGTGTTTTGTTGGAGAATTAAGCCTGTTTTGTTTGTTGGAGAATAAAGCCTGTTGTGTTTCTGTTGGAGAATTGACCCTGTTTTGTTCTGTTGGAGAATAAAGCCTGTTGTGTTTTATGTTGGAGAATTTAACATGTTGTGTTTTATGTTGAAGAATTAAGCCTGTTGTGTTCTATTGGAGAATAAAGCCTGGTTTGATTTGTTGGATAATAAATCCTGTTTTGTTTTGTTTGATAATTTAACCTATTGTGGTGGGTTCACATGTATGCTTTATATTAATAAAACTCCATCAGCCGTGTTCAGGGCCAAAATCTAAAGAAGCGAAGAAGAATATGGCAGGAACCCGTACTTACCCATTTTTATTGATAATTTAATAATTGAGAGACTTTCTACATTGTAACATTAAATGTCTTTGGGTCATGTACAAAATTTCTTTATATTCATAACGTGTTAGTGGTTATTAACATTTGTTTATGAATGTTGGTGGGTCTTGACATGCAGTGTTACATGCATGACGTGAAGGGTGTCAAAGATGTTCTGGACAGGTATGACGCGGTATCGACCTATTCGGCACAAACAGCTGATCGATAGGGACGCTGAACGACCGAGTTGTTCATTAGACGTACATTCACGTCAACTGTCATTAGGCCGAGTGTAAGGCATTGAGGGGAAATAATGATTAAGCAGTCTTCTTGTGATCAAACACATGCCGTGGACTATCTGATGTGTGTACTTACATCACGTAATGCCATCTCCATCCTGACCCAATCCGTACATCACACCGGCACCATCCCTCCAATACTATCACGAGGACTTTCGTTTAATGAAATAATTACAATTAATTTCTTAATTTGACACGATTTTGTTCTATCTACGATTCAGTCTAATTAACATTTCATTCAATCGGTCTTATTCGTGTACGATTCCTTTTAAATATCCAATATATGTCACTTCTGACGTTTGAATCGATTGTTATGATGTTTCATCAAATTATTTACTTTGCATTGCTTTTAATTTATTTGAACTTTGACCCGTTTCTGTACCTTTGGTTTACGAACGTAGCAGTGGTATTTGATACACTGTCCAAACATGATATCCAATCATATATCTGTAGAAATATACCTCTCGCAGGTATTACAGTGATTTGACCTTTGATCCTTGTTGTGACCTTGACATCCAGAAAATGAGGTTGGTACAGGACGCAAAGAATTTGTACATGATATCTTTGTTTTTAGGTTTTGTTCATTTTCTCTCACTTGTAACTGTTAATACCTTATTAAATCCTTGTTGCTAATTTGACGATCGTTAAACCATTAACTAGCCTAGTTACAGGAACCTACATGATTACTGGGGGTTCTTGACTCACAAAAATTAAAAATGTGCATACTTAGGCCTTTAGAATAAAAGACGTATAAAATTAAGTTTCTGCTTTAATCGGACTGTAAAACGAACCTAGGACCAAAGTAAGCGATCTGATTTCACTTCGATCATTCATTAATTTTTGAATTGTTATTCAAATGTTAGCTACTGTACATAAGTCATGTGTATAATATTCAATGCGGCACATTTACTTGTCCCGGCTTCAGTATCAAAGCGTCAAATTGACATTGATAGGCAGATTAATCCGTGTAGGTTTATATTCGCCTGTGTGAGGCAACATTGATCCTTAGCGATTGTTTACTGACGCTACAGAATACTAACTCTTAGGAAACATAACCGTCTCCACGATGGTTTAAGAAAGCACAGACTTCCGGTAGACCTATCTTTGTATCGCAGTGGGGGATACCAGTAGTTATAAAAAGCCGGTGTTACGCCAACGTTTTTCGTGAGGCATCGACGTTTTTCGTGAGGTATCGACGTTTTTCGTGAGGCACCGTGAGGTACATTTTTCGTGAGGTATCGTGAGGCACCGTGAGGCATCGTGAGGCATCGTGAGGCACATTGAGGTTCTATGTATATAACCTTATATAGTTTCTTGAGGCATCGTGAGGCATCGTGAGGCACCGTGAGGTATCGTGAGGCACCGTGAGGTATCGTGAGACACATTTTCGTGAGGCATCGTGAGGTACATTTTCCGTGAGGTTTGCATATAAGTACATTTCAAGGTCACATTTAGGTCATATTGAGGTCACAGTATATGTTCTATAAAAAGTGCTGACTTACCTGAGGTTTCAGGTGTATTCCATAGCACAGAAACAGATCGACCTCGGCAACTGTGTAAACATCGTCATGTGATCATAATAAAGCGGTGATTAATCTATTGTTATTCGTTAAAGTTGGGTTTAACACCATCACATGAATGTCTTTTGTTTGATCCTTCATGTTCTTAATTTTTAATTTTTAATTTTGATGAGTTGATTAGCAATATATTGTCTGGCATAGTAATTGTCCAAACATTTACCACCATTGGAAGTACCACCGTTAAATAATCCCACTTCCATGACCTCATAAATTTCACTATAATCGCCATGAAATACAACATTTATACGGAATTCAAGAATAGAAAGTCCATTTTGAGCATTAAATTCAGTATGCCAGTTCATTCTAGCTTCTGCCACCATTGGGGGCGGTCTATATGGTGTCCTACAAAAAGGACAAAGACGACCATCAATCCTATCGTAACAAGATTTACATATTGCTCGGTCATCAGGACAACAATGGCACTTACAGCAACCCGAACAGGAATTAGATGTTATTTTGTTTAATCTGACAACACCTACAAAGACTCTCGCAAGTTTTCAGTTTTACGCTGATCTATTGTCACAATGAGTCCTCCCCAAGGTACCAGATTGAGACTTATCAAATGTGTAAGTCATGCGTTACATATGTAGGACGACACTCTTACAAACTGGTATTTAATCAGAAACAGAAGTGTCCTGAACAAATGTCTAAAGCAAAGTTTCTTTTATGATTACAGCCCATTTTCTTTTTGTAAATGAATCGTTACTGGTATACGGTCTGTCTACGTCTAAATCGGATTAGTGTCATTAAACCCGTCAACGGACACATTTCATATGACGTGTAAGGGTAATACACAAAGAAATACACGGTAGAAATGCCATCATAAAGGGTTCTGACCGTTGTTAAAATAGTGAAAGATTCCATTACGTATGTTTAAGCATATAATATAATCTAAAAAAAAATAAGAAAATAAAAATAAAAGATCTTTTTATATGTTTTTATATATTTTTATTATATACTTATACATGTACAATTATACAATCTGTCTGTACCATTTTATAATCTGAACATATATATATGTATATATCTCTGAAGAATCTCCTAGAAGAGATGAAAGTACTAAAGACTCGTTGTTGAGAATTTTTCTTTTTATAATATATATATATAACACAGTCTCATTTCGTTAGATTTTAGGCCACGATGTTGTTAAACTGTTCTATCATCTACACACAATGAGCTATTTTGTAATTTCAAATACCAATTATTTTATAAATAACAACGAAGCTTTCATCATAATCATGTAATATATTAAATGTTTTTATTATGAAGTAACTAAATGAATACATTGAAACCAGTAATGAACTATGACAAAGTGTAAATTTAAATGACATAAATCATCCATATCACATTTAGAATAATGAAATAACGGAACAATTATGAACAATTCATAAAGATTCATGAACTTTATTTATAAGTCAAACGATTTAAGTTTCTAAATGAAAAATCTACTAATTAAATTGGTGAAAGCTTGACAATGCCGTCTTTGTCTTGTAATGTCCAAAGGCATAGCTATCGCAGAGATTTGGAAGAATCCAACGCTTGTCGTCAAAAGCACATAACCCAGATTTGTTAATGTTATACACGTATAACTGGTGTCTAACGTTCCTAATGGAGCGTTTTCACACATTTTGTTTTGTTTGTCAAAAATACATTCTTTGTACATCTCGTGACGCAAGTCACGCTTTATGGTAGCTTTGGCAATGCCTTTAGCTACCTGCTTCTCTTTGAAAGAATTGGTAGTGATAAAGAATTGGTAGTGATTCTCATGTTTTGATACGTAAAACTTTCTGGGTCGGCATATCGAAAGCTATACATTTTAGCACGGAGTCCTACAAGCTCTACGATGGGCTTGCCTGCGGTTTCGTCTTTAAAATAACCAAGTATATTTTTATTGGTCGAATCGTAACAGAAGTGCTCATTGGGATAATTTGACAAGTCAAACAGGTGTCTGTCCTGCAACATGTCGACATAGATGTCGTCACATAGCACGTGGTAACAAAAACTGTCGGTGTCTGTGAATAATAATTTTATCCCGTCTCCATATTTCGGTTTGAGATATTTGTAGTAGAACTCGTACATAATACATTTTGATTAATCTAAGATGGCTTGACCTATGTAAACGGGTTTGTTTAAAAACAGTTTTATTTTAGCGTTTTGTACACCCGTCAAATCCTCATTAAAAATGGTCAATCTTGGAAAAAAAGGTTTTGCACAGTACTTTTTAAGTTTTTTGGTCGTGTGTGCGAGTTTAATGTCGACCCTGTTGCGAACGTTCTCCATGGTTTTACCAAAGACGGAGTTGTTCATCAATTTGAAGAAGTCTTTTTCGAATTCGTTCTTGGAGAGCATTCTTTTTGCAGTATTAAAGTCGATGTATTTCTTTAACCATGGTACTTGTCTGAATTCTAACACTCTGTGAACTTTTGTAACTTTCAAACCTAATTCTAAATACAGCTGTAAATTGTATAGTGACAAATGAATTTTGTTTTGTAAATTGGGAACCAGTTTTTCTGTTTTTACGCGGCCATGTAGCTTAGACTCTGTATGTTCATTGCTCGGGTATAGCTCTCTCCACAGTGCTTTGCTTGTGGGAGATAACTCCTCGTCCGAGACGGTTTTACGCTCGGGAGCCATAGGGTAGTCGCTCATTAGATCGTGGTCGCTTTCGCTCACCTCCAAATCGACCTCAAGGATATATCCTAGATCACCCTCTTTAGGTATAGACAGTACGTCAAACTTATCGGCGTTTTCTGTCCAACGAAAATCCCCAACTGGCAATGGTTCTGACATGGTTTTACCATTATAAGTTGTTACAGTCCGTATACATGATATACGAGTCGGGATGGGAGGAATCGTACGATTCGGGAATGTAGGGATTGTTGGCTTTTGCATATTTATTAGAAACCATAGAAACACCTCCCCTTACTCCGTTCTCAAAGAAAAGATACATGTCTGGGTCTGTAACTAAGGTCAATGCTTTGTCAAAATGTAAATCCACCACATCGTCATAGGGAAGCATCACACAACTATGTCCTAGTTGATTGGCTAGCCCTTCTTCACATCCAGCACATACGAACAGTTCGGTAATTTTAGATCTGACAGCATATGCATAAGACAGACACATCAGATTTTTTAATATTCTTCTATAGGCCTTTTCTTCGATTTCCTCGAATAAATAGTCATGCAGTCTTTTCTTAATTAACTCCGTGTTAACATCCATTTCTTAGTTGTCTAAAGACATGTGTTTAAACTCATTGTTTAAACTCAAACACCATTTAAAGATAAAGGCAATCTTTTGACCACCTTGCGTGCTCCGCTTTGATATCGTCAAAATAGGTCCAATGCTTTAACGAAACACCACACATGAAACAAGTAACACAGTCTTCAATACCTGTATGGAAAAATCCGTTATTTGCAAGTTGATATGGTGAATGATAACGGTATTTTAACCAGTAAATGTATCTAAGCGCTTACTACAATTGATCAATGATGGATGATGGGGTTGTATTACGTTTAAGGTGTGGCAAACAATGTCAGTTCCCTCACATGCCATTTTCCATAAATGAATAAACACATTGAAAGCTCTCAGATTGAAACACCAATTTTTTAAAGAAGTCACCTGTAATTTGTAAACTCTTTTTTTCCTCACGTAAACAAACTCACCTCACCTTTGACCTTCTTAACGACGACTTGCTGTGTTAATCCTATGCAACAGGTAATACTGCTAGCAGAGATTTCGCAGATATCGATGTTTCCACAGTTGACGAGGTCGACCTGTTTCTGTGCCATGGAATACAACTGAAACCACAGGTAAACCAGCACTTTTTGTAGAACATGTACTGTGACCTCAATATGACCTAAATGTGACCTTGAAATGTACTTATATGAAAACCTCACAGAAAATGTACCTCACGATGCCTCACGAAAAATGTGTCTCACAATGCCTCACGGTGCCTCACGATACCTCACGGTGCCTCACAATGCCTCACGAAACTGTATAAGGTTATATACATAATACCTCAATGTGCCTCACGATGCCTCACGGTGCCTCACGATACCTCACGAAAAACGTTGGCTTAACACCGGCACTTTACAACTACTTGTGTGTGCCAAATCAGGTAAGGTTGGAGCACGGGAATTAAAGAATGACGCATTCTTATGTAAAGCCTTGGAATACGGGGCAGTTTCACTGCGAGGGGGGTCCTCTGAATGTGTTTCTGAACTTTAGATATTTCATTTATTTTGGACAACAAATTGTTTATCGTTGTGGTAATGCCATTATTTTAAAAATAAGCTTGAAAGTTGTATTTCCTTTTTGAGTATTAAAGTTTTTAAAAAGTTAAACGTGATTTTTCGCACTTTGTACTAGACCGATAAAAAACATCCTGGGTATATTACAATCTTTAATTTCCATGAAAACACATAAATAATTTTTCAATTTCTTAAATTTACACTGACAAAAAAACAATTACTTGACAAAATACGAGCCTTAGGCAACTACGCTACTGTAAATTGATTTAATTTGTTCTATAAATGAGGTGAAATGAATCAAATGAATTATAGTTTATTTCAAAGATTAATATAATTTAAGACATGGTTTATTGGAACAATGTGCATGTAATTATTGTACGCGCATGTAATTATAAAATGATACATGCAATACAGATAAAACTGCCCTAGAACACAGATGTGGAAGAAAAGTATTTGGGGCACAGTACCTTATATTGATAATTATACCAACAACACTAAACAACACATTGTCGTCATAGTCAACTGCCCTGATATCCAAATGCTTACAAAACCTACAGGACGCATACCTATAAGTGAGAAATGGCCAGTGGCTGTGCAGGCACTAATGGCTGTACCTGTCAATCAAGTGTTGTCTACAACAGTCGTCAACTTTATATCAATTTAGGATTTGTTTTTGTACTACGGCTGTATAATCCTAATTCTTAGATAACGAAAGAAGACTGCATAGGTATTAATAATACAAACACTATAATAATTCATGGATTTTTATTTATTCATTATTCTAGATGATCTTTAAACAAAATGAAAATAGTTGTCATGTCATGACTTTGAAGTAAACATTATACAATGGAAGATACTTGAATCTCAACATTATGAAGATTGAAAGGTATGATAGTTTGAAAAACACTTCTTTTTTCAATACAACGCATGCACATTTGATGAAATAAGAATAAAAAAACAAGATTCAAATACGATTGATTAACACGTAAATACACTTATACATATATACTTGATTATAATCAAAATTATATAATGTGTAGGAGACCCTGTGAACAAATACAATCAATTAGCATTCTTCCCTCTCGCAAATAATCACTATCAAACACAGAACATGGGAGACTTAACAGAGGTGCCTCCCTTTATCAAACAAAAACTGCTACCGTGCTAGACTCGCACTCGGTAATGCTTCATACACAAAAGTACAAATAATGAGAATATTAATCAACAATTATATAACAATATCCTATGATTTTTATGCCACAATAATATGGTAAAGTAATGATAAGATTGAGCATACTTGATTTTGATTGAAATAATCACATTTATCCAAAACAAGCTTGAAATCAAACAAAACAGTTGATAATGAACATTTAAAATACATCTATTATTTGAAATATAAATGTTTAAAATTGAAGACAATTTAAAAAAAAACCTGTACATTTTTTTTTATGAATAGTCAAACCTTTGACACCTAGGCCTGCTTGAGTATAATAATGATATACAACATTTGATATAGCGCCCTATCTAGCTAACATAAGCCACTCTAAAGCGCTTTACAGTACATAGCTATACAATTAACACAATTAGCATATACATAAATCAATACAATTTTCAGGAATATAATAGCTAAAATCTCCCTATGAGTGTATGCCTGCGTATGTGCTGGAGATGTCATGTGTATAGAAACATGAACTTGTATTCCAGAGGACGCTATATATAACTGGAATCACACTAAGTGATTCTTAACTCTATGATATATTCTTGATTACAATGGCTTTCATTAGTATAAATCTAGAATTGATCTCCTTGAACAGAAAGTTGAAAGTCGGTTCCCGACTGTAACCTCGGTGAAATGGTAGTTAGGCACCAGTGTAAATCACTAACGTGTCAATGTCAATATCCATCATTGTGATACATATGTCAGTTTATCTTTTCATAACAATCAGAGTTAATAAATGTTTGGAAGAAACTTTAATTTTTTCCTGCTTGTTCATGATGCACAAAAAGGACAAAATGATTTGATGAGACATTAAATGTTCATCTGAAAATAATAACAACACAAAAATAATTGCAGATATTCATATACGCTTACACTGTACAGCTTTACCCTAAAGGAAATATATTCAAATTGCTGTTGTGATCTGACGCAATTCGGTCATTCAGGGCCATTACATAGTAAACATTGAATGAACTTATTCATTAGTGATTTGTTTAGTAAGACATTAATACACACCAATATAGTAAAACTGTACTACTTTTCTGATGTGGTTGTTTATATGTGTTCTGTTATAGCCAGGTCGTTTCTAACATAGAATGGAAAATCCAATATATCTGTTGGGTGTAGAATCGTGCTGTTTGTATAATCGGTATTAAGTTAAGATGTCAGATTTTGTAACCACCGATGTCTGAGATGTCTGACTCGTTGGTACTCCTAAAGTCGTGCTGTTTGTATAATCGGCATTAAGTTAAGATGTCAGATTTTGTTACCACCACTGTCACACTCGTTGGTACTCCTAAAGTCGTGCTGTTTGTATAATCGGTATTAAGTTAGGATGTCAGATTTTGTAACCACCACTGTCACACTCGTTGATTTGGAAATCCTACTGCAACGTCAGCCTCACTGAAACAGACAAAACAGCATGTACTTTAGTCTTTTATGTCTTAGGCTGATATGTAGTATAGTTAAATAGTGGAGGGTTATGTAAGCGAGGTTTTGCTCTAAATTACTATGAAATCACCAAATGAAAATTGAGGATACATTTACACATTATTCACCAATGTGCTATTAAATCAACAAGACAAACCTACCTTGCACTATACGCTGGATTCATATGAGACTGAAATGAGAAGACAAAACAAATAAAAACATTTCAGTCAAGTATTATTTATTTTAAGTTGCATACCTTAGATATATATAATACAAATCAATAGGTATAAAACCTTGTCATATATTAATATTGTATGATATATTAAAGATCCCTGTCCCACTGCAATGTGGTTTTCCTATAGACAGTCAATTCCCCTTAATTTCGTTTTGACTATAGCTGTGGCACAGTTTGTGCAGTGTACTTTCGCTGACCAGCAATAGCATAAACTCTGTAGTCAAGTGTAAGATTCCCGGTCTAGCCCCGATAACATGTTACACCCCGAACATTGTTGTTGATTTTTATGTTTATTTCATTCTTTTATACCGTGAGTTATATTTATCTTTTCAGAAATGATTTATCAAAGATTTAGTCATACCAGAAAAAAAGGTACAAACGCCTTGTTACAGTTTGTTGCAGTGGAACAGGTAGCCTTAATATCCACGATTCCTCAGTAGTTTTGGTATAAGAGTTTCAAAACAGTTGTTATTTGTAAATCCGATCATCTTATTACACGTAATTACAGAAACAAACGATGCAATTGAAAAACATACTTCTGGGGAGGAAGATACTGTTCTATTAACCCTTTGGAAATGATATTAACACGAACCTTTATCATCGGTCTTTAGAGCATGCTGTTGACAGCTCTTACAGAAATGGAATTCTTTCAGTCGTTTTCCAGAAAATATTTGTTTGCACACACATTACTTTGAAAGATAAAAATTTACGGAAACTTTATTTCAAATGTTTCTAAAACCCAACATTTTTGCCATATGTGAGCTTTTCTGAGCGGTGTTAAAGGAATGGATAATGAATGTAAAAACAACGGTCAATTTTAACTCGGATTTCCTACAACATGAATTACAACGTTTGTGATAGAAGCACCGACTAAGAAAACTAATATTTGTGGTGTTCATATAACAGATTAACATTACGGGAACACATTTTTGTATAGTAAAATAACCAAATTGCCGATACGCACTATTCCCCAGTGAACAAAATGTATCAAAAGTGACTTGGCAATGAACATTCGGCAAAACTGTTTGCTAGAAACCCCTCAGTTCAATATGGGATCAGTAATGCTAGTTCAACGACTTATCATGGTGAACTACATTATTTTCTGATTGCTGTCAAATCATTTTATCATTTTATCACATAACTGATCCATTTTACTATATTTACATTATGTATGCTTAGACCCATTGACAAAAATTACATTCATAAATGCATAACACAGGTGTTCATAGAATCTCAGCACGTGGGAACTGATAGTAACCTGATCACACTGCGTAGTTATACACTACAAAAACTACTTTCTCGGAACGACCGACCTAGATGCTTAATTCTTACATCTTAAAATATTATTGAACTGTGCTTTGTGAAATATCCACGTATTCACGTGTCCTGTGCTACAAATAAACATTGAATATGGAACTACATTTTGTTGTGTTATTGTTGTTGACGGTTGCTAAGATCTCTCACGATAGTGTCCCATTTCCCCGCGAAAAAACACTGTTCTCGCCACTGCGTTGCACCCGTGTGTAAGCAGGAACAAACCCTGTTTATTTGTTTTATTCCTTGTTATATCGATCCACTGAAAGGATTCGTCGATGTAAATATAAGGAATGATATTTATTTTTTCCACATTTATGAGGTCATAACAACAATGGGCTTTTGGACATATTTTACATGACTCGCTAACGCGATTCATTCAATACGTCCATAAACCCATTGTTGGTATGACCTCATAAATGTTGAAAAAATAAAAATCATTCCTTAAATATCATACATCCATTTAATTAATATGGTTATACACATGTGTAATAAAACATAAAGGTGCTACAATTGGTAAAAACCGTGGAAACATATTCCTACGCCACTGCAGGTACTATTTTATTTGTCTTTGTTTCTGATAAATTTCAAGGTTTTTGCTATTGGATGAATTTGGAAAAGTGATTTTGTCATTATTATTTTCATTGTAAAACTGTACATTAATATATATTTTTTTAAATCCAGAACTACTTTGCACTGCACGGAAAGACAAAGCTATGATCGAAGTGCTTTTGTTTAGACTTATTTAGAGTCAGCTGAAAACACGTAAATGTGTTTGAAGTATTTTTTCTTCAAATATGAATGTTATGTAATAAATAAAACCTTACATGAGTGTCCATGTCATATTAAATTCATTAAACTTGTTCCATAAATTCAATATGACATGGACACTCATGTAAGTTCGTGTAAGATCCCCCAATTGTTTAGATTTAGGTGACAGAGATATTGTGAACAAATTAAATGCTTAACAGATACCGCCACAACAAATTCATGAAGTGATGTGCAAGATTAAAGACATATTTATCGTCACATTGGGAACTGATTTCACATTGAAAAACAAATTTAAGGATGATAAAATTGACATCAAAGAGGACAAACAACCAGTCAGGCCAGCTGTTGCAGACTCAACTAAGAAAACTGCTGCTGTGAAAGCAATACTTAAGGATGATGATCGTTATACTACTTCTGAGATAGCACATATGGTTCACATTTCAGAAGGCAGTACTGTACATATCACATTCTGAGAAAGTGCTCAAAATTAAAGAAACTTAATGACGTCACAATTTGTGAGGTCATGGTTTGATCAGATTTAGGAAACCTATGTGGTTCTAAAGAAACAGGAAAACAATCCGTTAAACACCATACCTGTTCTGCTGTGCCTCTTAGCTCTGGTACTGTCGAATACGTGCTGCCGCCGGGAGCTTCGGGTCCAGGAAGAGGCTCGTACCCGTCGTTCGTTTCGGAACTCCCAGTGATATCGTATTGCGGATCACGTCTTTCCGACAATGGCTGTAAGCCACTGTACGTGTTGTCTTTCTTTTTGCTTTCGCTTGGGGCATAGACAGCTAGCTGTTTATCCACAGTACGGTACCTAGAATACCAGTACATCAAAATTAATAACAGAGCGCTAATATCATAAAAAGCCTACAATATAATACTATACTTAACCTGATAATAAACCATCTCTATAGCGTGCCCCATATCCTTGATCTACTCGAAGTGTCACATTCGTTCACCATAAAAGAAGGAAATTCAGTACATGTATTATTGTTATTTGAAATTTTTGAATGTTCATCAATCATTCTTATTTTTGTTTTTAGATAAGTATATGTCTAGGACGTTTTTCAGGGCCAATACGGTACTTTTCTATTTAACTACAACAAAAGATGTTTTTTACAGACTAAAAGTAAAAAGGGTATGACTATTTGATACTTTTATATGATATACAAGGTTCATCAATAAGGACGAGTAAATTCACACATATATGTAGTTATTTTCTAAAACACATTTATTGTCAAACATTAAACATGCTAAAAACAGAACTAGCAGGTACTAAACTTGTTCCTCTTCCAGGAAAAAGGAACTATATTCAACATTTGAAGTATAAGAAATATGAGGAAGCTTTATTACAGTTTATGTCAGATTTAACTCTTCATCAGTATTAATCACTGATAAATAAACTCCGAACTTAGTTTTGCCTAGAATAACGTATGCTGATGCCATTGACACATTAACAACGTTGCGCTACTGCAAGTTTTAAAAGTCCCTTAACTAGAAGGTTAGAGGTCAAAGTCCCTTAACTAGAAGGTTAGAAGTCAAACTCCGTTACTGTGAACAAAGATCAAGGTCATGTATACCTGGTCATATCATTTTCTGCATAGGCAATTGAATGGATTATTCGGTCCCTTTATAGTCTGTTTATGGTTTATAGGATTGTCATCATAGTGAACAACACTGGATAACCTGGGTGTTGTTTAGCGTGCTAGCTGAGATGATTTGTATCAATATACTGTATACCGGGCAAATATGGCGGCAGTGCTATTTTAGCTATTTTTGCGGTATGAGTGTACTGCGAATTAAACAATGCAACGAAAATGTCAAGTTTCAGACATTATGGTAATACCTAAATCCGGACTGAAAATCACCATAAGTAACAGAATTCGCTTTTGCAATAAATATCCTCTTTAATTCAAATGAGTTGCCTTTATTTTAGCCTTAGGCTACACAAAATTTTGGGAGACATAAGAATATTGGGAAACAGGGCGTATTTAGAAGCATGACGTTTGCATGGTTTCGGTGACTGTATGGCTTAAGTGTGTAGACACCTAATCATAATTGGAGCACGGGAGAGGATGTAGTTAGGTGTTGACAATAGTAGCTCCTCTGCCAGCCAAAACTTATCACGAATGACAATACAACTGATTAATACCAATACTGGCACTTAAAGAGTCTGCGGGCATCACGTTTTTTCTGTATGCATGTATATTCAAATCGTTATGCAATGTGATTGGCGATACATATTTCATTTAAAGAATGTTTGCAATCGTTAAAAAAACAGATGCAAAACATTTATAGAAGCAAAGATACTTTAATTGCGATTTTTATTACTGATGATATATGCAAATATTTCAGAAGCATTTTATAAGTAGAGTTATATGTGACGAAGTGTTAAATTTGGACACTAAGCGAATTTTTTTATACAGACAACAGTGATATTTTAGGGTTCCTATGCATACACTAATAGTTCTAATTTTTCGGTGAGTTGTAATTATACAAGTTTTAGCGGTTTTGCTTCTACTATTTACCCAGCTTGTAAACTCATGCTAGCTACAATGTTAGCTAAAATGATGATGAGAACTCTGAACGTATAGCCAATGTATTACACTGTTCTCTGTCCCCGGCTTTTAAACGGGACAGCGAGACAAATAAACAGGGACAGTACTACATCTTTATTAATCATGTCCAAATCAAATTCATCTTCAAAAATGTGGTATCATGCTTTCATTTGAATAGGTGATATCACTGGACTGGAAGATATAATATCACCGATTAAAACACGAAGGACTTACAAGTAAAACAAGCCAAGCAACTGAGGTTGCGTTATACATATGTCATAATTCCTATATTTGTCCATTCATGTAAGCTAGTGAAGTTCATATCTTTGTCATTTACAAAGTTCAGTCTCTCTTTTATAACATACACCTATCTTTTGTAAGTAAATTACACAATGAAGACTTACTTGTAGAATAATATGAAGCACAGACCAATAGCTATACAGAGTGCCCCTACAAGTCCTAGCATGACGGCAAAGAACAAGTCCTTTTCTGCCACGATTTCTGTCCTCATCGCAGAGGTAAAACATGGCAGGTAATCCCCAGCCAAGGTTATCCTTACAGTGCTTGAACTGAAAAATAAACATCATGTATTTAGTCATTCATAGGACATGGAGTTTTTATAGTTTAGAATAGTATATCTGAAAATGCAATTACGGTTTAGATATATTGTAAAAAAATATATATATAAACTTTATTAATTTTACAACAATTATGAAACAAGTTATTTCAACTCATATGAATCACTCTTTTTTGAACCGAATGTCAGCACGCGGTGGGTTTTAGTGTGGGAGGAAACCAGAGTACCCGAAAAAAACACATAGTCGAGCAGGTGACCCTATACCTTTTCACGTCCGATCGGGGAATCGAAACCCAACCACCTTTGTGATATGACAGTGCGCTATCCACTGCACCACCCATCACCCTGATGAATTGTACTAATTGTATTGCTGCAATATAAATCAAACATTACCTACCACAATACTCTACATATAGGTTATGATGAAGTTATATAGCAGGTCATTGCCGGTTGGAGTCTTGATTTTAGCCAATTTAATTGGTTCTCTTCTGCTGAAACGAACCTATACATAATCATATGTCTTAGAGTTTTCCTATTCAACACTTGATCATTTTGATAAATTACTGGATGGGATTTAAATTTGTTATTGTCGTCGATGAAACAAAAGACGCTTACCCTTCCGGAACACATGTTCCTTCTCTTGTACTTGTTCACTCGTCCCCAAGTAAACCTTTTCTTGGTTCATATTTTGGCCGATTTTTGTCGACTTTTGAGTTATATGTTTTTTTGACACTTCGGTTCTCTCTTGTTTAAAAAAAAGTTTTCATCCATTTGATCTGTCACCAATATTGATCTAAAGCTAGTTAAATTGACCGCAGTGTTTACGAATACTGACTTGTATTTGGGTATATCTCCACCGTCTGTGGCTCGAACTGTCAGGGTTAGGTTTGAAGCATCAAACTTTTCATCTAGCAGGTATGTAAGTTTTATCACACCACTTCTTGTGTCTATGGACATCACATCCTGTAAGCCAATCAGATTTGTTATAATATAACACAACTTTTGAACTCTTGACCTGAAATCTGTGTCTATCTCAGTCGCAGAATATTCAATAAGAGACGAGATAAGAAGGATAATATACACCATATATATTTATTCCTTATTTGTTACTTGACAAACTGCTATATCTATGTAACTGTGCAGTTTATATGAGACTGCTCTTTATTACAATTCACATACAGACACAAAACACTATGTTCGACGTCGGCAATCAATAATATCGTCAAGGACTGTCCTAAAAAAGACCATATCTGTACAAATTATTCTAAAGTCAGTTCAGAGGTCAGACAATTTGCTTCAACCGCCAGGAGTGGAATTGAACCTATCAGCACTCAGTTCCTACATCTCATGGATAACCGGAGGTGGTTTATTATCATGCAAAACTATTTCGTTCATTTGACAAGGTAGAAAAGATAGTCAACAGACATCTAATATGATGGTGAATGTTTTACACAGAATTGAAAACTGTTGGGGAAAATTGGCTATCATTCCTAATTAGTGTATTCATAGTTCACATTAATTTACGCAGATTTGTTACAAAAGAAAACGACAAAAAACGTTTCATCCTGTTATTTAAGTATTACTACGGTAATCTAAATTACAAACGATTATGAAAATTAAAATTTAAAAAAAAACAATTACCACAAAACAAAAAATATGAAATAAACCTATGCACATACCATTTAGTCTAACCTATAACATCATGCAGAACACAAAAATAGCCTAGACCTAGGCAAGCTTATATTATCGAGCAGAACTAACGACCCTTTTCATCGGTTAATAACCAACCATTATCGGACGATAGATCATGCGTGTGCATGTAACATTTCCCAACAAACCAACTCTCCTCAAAACCCTCCCCAAGCAAATGTAAACGTCCGGCTTGCTGGACTACTTAAAACATGTCAGAAAGTTCCGCTGGACTTGAAAAGTGTTTGTAAATCTGTCAAATGTTTATTTCATGTTGTCGTTGTCGATATATTTGTGGATTTAATTGATTGAAATGAAAATGTGTTATAAATCATGGCATCTTCATTAATAGTTTATAGTCTGTCGACCAAACGACTACTGAAAATTAAGAAAAAAATCCTTCCCAAACAAACCCAGGTTTAATAGACAAGAAAAACTGGACAACTGCTTACAGATTCAATAGACAAGACAAATAGGACAACTGCCGACAGGTTCAATAGACAAGACAAATAGGACAACTGCCTACAGGTTCAATAGACAAGACAAATAGGACAACTGCCGACAGGTTTAATAGACAAGACAAATAGGACAATTGCCTACTGGTTCAATAGACAAGACAAATAGGACAACTGCCGACAGGTTCAATAGACAAGACAAATAGGACAACTGCCGACAGGTTTAATAGACAAGACAAATAGGACAACTGCCTACAGGTTCATTAGACAAGACAAATAGAACAACTGCCGACAGGTTCAACAGACAAGACAAATAGGACAACTGCTTACAGGTTAAATAGACAAGACAAATAGGACAACTGCCGACAGGTTTAATAGACAAGACAAATAGGACAACTGCCTACAGATTAAATAGACAAGACAAATAGGACAACTGCCGACAGGTTCAATAGCCAAGACAAATAGGACAACTGCCTACAGGTTCAATAGACAAGCCAAATAGGACAACTGCTTACAGGTTCAATAGACAAGACAAATAGGACTACTGCTTACAGGTTCAATAGACAAGACAAAAAGGACAACTGCTTACAGGTTCAATAGACAAGACAAATAGAACAACTGCTTACAGGTTCAATAGACAAGACAAATAGAACAACTGCCGACAGGTTAAATAGACAAGACAAATAGGACAATTGCCTACAGGTTCAATAGACAAGACAAATAGAACAACTGCTTACAGGTTCAATAGACAAGACAAAGAGGACAACTGCCTACGGGTTCAATAGACAAGACAAATAGGACAACTGCGTACTGGTTCAATAGACAAGACAAATAGGACAACTGCTTACAGGTTCAATAGACAAGACAAAAAGGACAACTGCCTACAGGTTCAGAAATGATAAAGTAGCGCAGCTTATTGTGAAATGAATAGGTATCACGTGATAAATGTTAACGCGCGCAAAAGAACAGCCTAATATGAATAATTAGATTATTAAAGTCACCTTGCTTATCATAGTCGTGTGGGCAATGAGGTAGACACAATCATGACTTATTACATTTTACTTGGTAGAATAGATACAGTCAACATGGTAGCAAATTAAACTTGGGATTCGAAAATAATTGATTTCGGCCACAAGCGGCCTATGTTAATGATGTTTTACCAAGATTTTCTCACCCTTGTTATATTTCACAATAATACACGCATATGCGTTGATTATTTCCTAAATATGTTTTATAAATTGGGATTTTATCAAATACAGGAACTTTTAACAAAAAATTAAGACAGATAATTGAATAATTTATAATTTCGAAAAATTAAAAGGTCGTAATGTCACTATAACTATATCTAAACTAAAATCATCTGCTTTCCAGAAGTGATAATAATGGAGGTTCATATAAATGGTATCTCATCCATCTATTGCTATAATGTTTTAAGTAGTACATTCTAACTATGGTACCATAACACCACACTTACCCTGTAATTTCCTGCAGCGATGCTATATTTTATACTATTCTTCGGAGGCGGGTCAGCATCAGTTGCCGACACTGTTAACACAGCGTCTGTTTGTGGGTGACTCCGTGGGATTTCTGTTTGGTACACATCTACAAAATGAAACGAGGAACTATGGAATAGTTTTTCTTTTTTTATTAAACACAGAAAAGCTAATGTGAGACAATCTACTACCAGAAATGATTTCTTCACCAAGCGAACGCTTGTCTAAGGATTGAGAACTTGTAAAGGAGGTAGACCGATACTGAGAAGATCGTTTTAAGGCATTTTCTTAACCCTGAATTGTTTAGCATCAAACAACTGATATTTGAATTTATAAATGGTTCAGTCATATCAATTACTTCCTGTTCATTACATCAATGTCCCTAGGGTAGCACATCCATGCTTTATTGGTGCTTGACCTATTGTAAACAAATCATACATATTACTGATTCCATATCTGTGGTAATAGTCCGTGCTTAACTCTTCCTGATTCTATGGTTACACATTCATGCTATACTTGATTTGTTCCTATGGAAACACATTTATGTATTGCTGTTTCTGTTCCTATGGTTACACATTCATGCATATTTGATTTGTTCCTATGGTAATACATTTATGTATTGCTGTTTCTGTTCCTATGGTAACACATTCATACATTTCTGGTATTGTTCCTTTGATAACGTATTCAAACATTACTGCTACTATAGCATAACATTAAATAAATGTTCTGACATTAAATAAAAGTCCCAGAACTTGTTCTGACTATTGGTCCAACCCTGGTAAGCACACAACTCCAAATGATTATATCAAACAATATTAGCTTACAACACATTGGTTTCTGTCTTAATCTTGATTTTCTAAATGAATAAAGATTTGATATGGTGTTTCACAGAACAAAATCACAGGGATACCTTTAGTAAATCGTGGGTAATACTGGTTTGGGTCTGCGTACTTGACTTCTACAATAACTGGAGTAGTGTCCTTCATGGAGGGATCGTTCTGATCAACTGCTTCCACAGTAAGCTGTAAACAAATGAGTTAAATGGTCAGTTGAGCTGTCACTGGTATTTTGGCCTAAAACTTCAGTTGAAGGTCATTTAGTGGTACTCGATATGTCATTAATGGACTAGAGACATAAAGGGTCATTTCTGGCCTCATTGGGGAGTATAACAATTATCCTTTAAAAATATAACGGAGATACCACTTTCTCTAATAAATAACTGAACAACAGAGAACTAGAGTAACTTTGAATAATCACCATTATGTAAAATGTTGCAGTCTGTCCAATGAGTTCGAGACTTCGCGTAGTGCGAAGTGTTCCATTGTTACGGTCCGCTACTATGGTTGACGGACCGAATCTTGACGTGTCCCTGTCGCTAAAAGTTCCTGAAGCGGAGTAGAACAGATCTGTGATGTTGTACAACGTCACACTGTACTGAATCCCATCCATGTCCTCTGAGGTCACAGTACCAATCTCTGACCCCGGCGAGAGGGTCTGAAAATACAAACAATGTTTCGACATAAGACACTTTTCTACACTTGACCCTAGTTCTTCTGGCCCTACATTGACTGGCTAAAGATTTCATCATTGCCTCCCTCAAGTGGCCTTGAGGTGAGTGTCTTTGACAGATGATGTGACCCGAGAGGAAGTTTCTGTGATTAGAGAGGAACTCTATGACCTGAGGTGAACATTTGAAAATAGAGATGATTTTTTGTGTGTGACCTGAATTGATAGTCTGCGCCTTGAGAGTTCTGTGACCTTTAGTGAGTGTTTTGAAATGAAATCATTTTGATAAAATGAAAAAGGGCTGTGACCTTATACATGTTTAAAATAAAAAGCCAGAGATTGGTACCTCATGCAGATGCCACCCTTTGTTATTATATAATCTAATGACTGCCCGTGATGGCGTCGCAATTCTGAAATCACGGTACATTCTCAGGATGACACATCCTTTTTGTAATTGTTTCACAAGGGTGAAACTAAGAACAACAATTTAGAAAAATATAGAGTATGATTCACCAAACGGCTCATTTTGATAATATGATTTAATAATGACGAGTAATGGCCGCCGTCAGTTGTATTTCGGAAATCCTTTAACGATATCGTAAGCGGTAGCAATGAACTCGATGCCATCCATATAGATAACCGACACCGGTGTGCTACAGTAAGAGAAAGACGGAGTTTCTAGTCTCTGTATATATACGTCTCTGAGTTCATCAATCCGTTCCAATGACGAAAAATCAGTACAGAAGCCAGACACTAGGTATTGACATAAACGTACCTGATAAATCTTAAATATGGGGATATAATTGTAACGGAATCTTGGTGATTGATCATTGATGTCAAGAACAGTGATATTCAAAATCAATGTCTCTGAATCCTTTTGAGGTGACCCCTGGTCACGCGCAATGATACCAAGGCTAACATACGGACCATCACGTTCTCTGTCCACAGAAGTCCCTGTTCTCATCCCAATCTCTCCCGACTGGGAATCCACCTCAAACACATCTATAAATGTACAAGGGAATCAGGCTTTATTTACATAACACTTCCTGTATATGATATGTCAAAAATAAAATAATCGCAATAGAATATAACTTTGAATGGTACACATAGAGAAACACTAGTATAGTGCAAAATCAGTCAAAACGAAAATGAGGAATTTAATCAAACTAGGTAAGATCATTTGACGCAGAAAAAGACGACCTTGTCCTTATTTAGAAGGCAATGTTAATTCAAAATTATATTTTCCAATCAATTCGACAGCTTTCATTCTTCAGCAAGTTTTTGACGAGAAAACAAGTTTTCTATGAGTGTTCACTTCCGGAATAATGTATGCCGGGAAATTCTAGGATCTGAACAATAAATATTCTGAAATGAAATGCCAGGAAATTTTCGCTGGTATAATTTTCGCTTTTTCACCCCTCGTAATGACGGCTAACTTATCATTATAGCGAATAAATAGATGAGCATAGATCACTGAGCATAAAACATTAACCTTTTAAACATATGAGGAAATCTTTTAAAAAAACGATCACATCCAAAATAATAAATTAAAGTAACTTCAAAGAATCTAGCTTGGGCACAAGACAAGAAATGAACATTTCACACTCTACCTTCCCAAGATGCACAAATATAGCAAGTTTGGTAAGCCTAGGGGGAAATATGTCCCATATTTGTTTATTCATACTTGCATACGAAAATTAAAAGCACTTAAAAATGTAAATATAAGGAATAAAATTAACTTTTTCAACATTCATGAGTTCATAACAACATTGGCTTTCTGGACATATTCCATGAATCGCGTTAACTTCTTACAATTTTTCAATGTTCCCAATGTGATAGTATCACAACATCAAGCCTCGGTTTTATTCCAGTGACAGATTTCTGAGTCTCTTACACATTAATAATAAGAACCTCCTTTACTCACTTGATGTAGTTTCAAGCCTGTATGTACACAGACACCTTCGATTAGTGGTGCCGTCCCAGTCATTTGCCATAGCAGTGTAAAATACCCCAGTGACTTCCGTCTCTTCCTGTAGTTGCTTGTAGACTGTTGACGTTGGGAAGTTCGGCCTTACATTATCATCCTTTATGTTGATGGTCAACTATAGACAAGTAGATAGGGGCAAAATGTTTTACATTGTTCAATAAATCACAATAAAATTACCAATGGTTGCAACAGTCAAAATGTTTGTCTTCGCTGTTTTATCCACAGTTAAAGGACACTGTCGTCAATTAAAGAATTTTCATTTGGAATGATTGCTAATATCCCCGAGTGAGATATGTTGACTTTTCTATGATAGTCATTAGTGTGTCTTGTGACATCTGTGTCACTATCCCGTTTCTTTCTTTTTGACGTTTTCCTCACACGTTGATTTGACTAAGATTTACACGAAAGGAGAAGGACTTCAAGCAGAAGACGCTTACCCTTCCTGAACACTTGGTCTTAGTACTTTTTGAGGCATGGGATAAAGGTTATCTTGATATCACATGTTAGACAGAGTATTAAATGTTTACCGTGACGGATGAAGACAGACGATCAGGAGACCCGGTGGTCTGGTCCGTGGCGACAACAGTTGTCACCATGATATCTCGCCTATAGTCATACAAGGACCTTCCCACAGATACCTGCCCAGTATTGGAATCTATATCCAGATAGTCATCGTCACCTGTGAAAACAGACAATGACTAGGTATTACAATATGTTTACAAGTAACGCACCTGGGAATGTGATAATGACTGTAATTGATTTGTGTAACAAGAGTACCACGGGGCGGAACAATATGCGCCCGTCGAATATCATTTAGTGTTATATACTTTCTTGCATTGAAATAAGATCTGCATCATTCAAAGAGTGGTTAGCTGTTCGTGACATGCTATAAAAAATGTAGAAGAAAACCTCCGGACAAAAAATCTCTTTTAAGGGACACACAACTTTATATCATGATTACATTGTATGAAAGAGATCCGTTCATTGTATTCAAAGAGATCCGTTGAAAAATGTAGGAGGAGATTGCCGGACAAAAATCAAATACTGAAATAAACAAAGGGCAATAACTGTTGCAAAAATTGTTGAATCAAAATTCTTTTCAAGGAAACACAACAACATATGATGAAATCCGTCAAAAAATGTAGGAGAAGATCTCCGGACAAAAAATAAAATACTGAAATGAACAAAGGGCAATAACTTTTTTGCAAAAATCGTTGAATCAAAATTCTTTTAAGGGAGACACAACTTTATATCATGATTACATTGTATGAAAGAGATCCGTTGATTGTATTCAAAGAGATCCGTTGAAAAATGAAGGAGGAGATTGCCGGACAAAAATCAAATACTGAAATGAACAAAGGGCAAAAACTTGTCGAATCAAAATTCTTTTAAGGGATACACAAACATATCATGATTATATTGTTTACAAAGTTTCAAAGAGATCGGTCGAAAACAGTAGAAGGAGATTGTCGGACAAACAAAAGTATACGCCGGACGGACGGACGGACAACCCCATACCATAATACTTCCGTCAAATTTGACGGGCGTATAAAAATCATGTTCTGAACAAACAAAGAAAGACAGGGTTTGAATGGCATTGCAACTGTTTTATCGTGAAATAATTAAATGCATAATGTTTGCTTACTTAAACAATACGTATTCACTGAACGTAAAATAATGACCTACTGAAAAATGTAACCTCTGTTTATAATCAGAAATTACACAGTGAGCTTGGGCTTTTAAACATAGGACACCTCTCATGGTTTGTCCCTTTTCAAAGCATTGTCATTTCGTGTACAGTGCTAAAAGTGTTCCACATCACTTAACTTAAACATTGATAAACATATCTATGATATTTTAAGAGAACTCTGAAGCTGATTGCAATTATTTGATTTGTGAACCTTTTTTACGAATTCCAAACGACTGAGTAACACTTTGACGGACCAAGGAAAAAGGTTTAGCTATACAGGAGACATGATCTAAACAAGCTTTACAATAATGTGATATTTGACGCTTTGTTATGACCTTGGACCTTAGGGTACAAATATAGGAGTACGTTTCTCACTTTGGATACTTGTTAAGTTTTATAATGAAAAACTCTTCCAATCAGAAAACATGGGGTTGGCAAAAGATTGTTGATTTAATGAAAAATTTACCTGTTTGTGTATCGTATTTGCAGATTTTGATGAGAAGTTCTTATCATTATTCATTAAGAAATGTTTAACCTGACAATAAACCTTAAGGAAATATAATTATACCTGCTATATCATAATGTATAAGTTTGTTCAAGCCGGAATCAGCATCTGTTGCCATGACAGTGATGACATTGTATCCAGGGCCGAGGTCACGTGATATGTTGACCTTATATGACGGAGAGCTAAAAATAGGTGGATTGTCGTTGACATCAATGATACTGACAGTGACGGTGGCACTGCTTGTTCGTGGGTTCGAAGATGCCATGTCGGTCGCCACAATGACGCATATGTAGGATGTTTCCGTCTCGTAGTCCAGCTGTGCGTTTTCTCCCAAAGTCATTATGAGAGATTTAGTGTCTACAAAATATATAGGGAGTCATTCGTATTTCATGAGATATAAGTCGCATGTGGAGTTACTTATAGGAGCGCTTTGGAATTCATGATTTACTATATTTACAAGTGTGTCATTGTGTCTTATTTAATCTATTGCAATAAAAATTGTTTTCTTTTGGTTTTTGTGTGTGGAAACATACATCAAAGCATTATAAGGACAAGATATCAAATTTTATATTTACTTTACAAAGCACTCTTTTGAAAGTGGGCAGGGAACATAAGATAAAAAGATGCACCATACCATTTACACCTTTTGTAATATAATGTGGTAAAGACATCCCTCATTTGTGAATACACCAACCTGTTTTTATCCTGAAGGGACACACGTTTGAGTTGCCATCTGACAGTTGTACTCTACCATTTTCATTCGAGTCTGCATCACTGACTGTGCCAAATATACTGGTCTGAAAAAGATTCAAAAGTGATACACTGATCTGAAAGATATTTATCAATACTTCATTGTCTGAAACATCTGAAATTAACTCATCATACTTTCATCAGTTTAACATATTCATCCGTAATATGGTGATCTGGGATTTATTTATTCGTAATGTGCTGGTCTGAAACGTATTCACCAGTTATATTTATGCCTGAAATATATTTCACGGTAATACACCCGTCTGAAACATAATAATCCATAACACACTTCACAATCTGTGAACCAAGCTCATCAGTATCATATCCAGTATTTGTCTGAAATACATTCATCCATGATATGCTGGTCTGAAACATATTTATCCTACAGAAATGTGTCTTATCTTTTAACAACTTTTATAAGTAACTTTTATTATTGTTTAACTATAATATTAATCAATGTCAATCTTACATGAATAACTATTTGAATTCTTCTGACATCTTTCTATTTTATCGGTTTTAAATGAACAATAACAACTGATATTTAATTGTATTATAAAGTACGCAGAAAGAAAGGAACTCAGAACTCTCCAAGTATGCGAGGTCCACGAACAGCGTTGTGTTCTGTGACTTTTAATGATGACACACATATTTATGATCAGACGCTTTTGACACGCAACCATGTAAACAGATGTACACATTAATAATTAAGTATATATATAGACAGACAAACGAATTAACCCTCACTATGCTTCATTCGTAAACTCATAATGAATCCAAGTCTGTAAATCGCCATGGATCTGTCAGAATATTTATTATAAAGGTATTTTTTCGCCATCAATAAATTTAACAAATTCTAGAATGGACTTGAAACGTGTTTTTCATGGGTTTCAGGTCTCGTGACCATGGCAGAAATTGCTTAAGGTAAGGACGGAAGAATTAACTGTTAATTGTTTAGAGTTTGGAGAATATTGTTACATTGAAATAAAACCCAACGAAAATTAGAATTCTGCGTCAAAAACAAAATCAGAACAACATAATGTCTTTTGTAGGGTTAAGACGAATGTCTGAATCCTTACCTCTGTTCTGAAGCTTTCCGCGACGTCGATCTGGTAGGTAATTTCCGAGAAAGATGGACTGTTATCGTTGACGTCTTTGATTGTGATATCCACCTCAACACTTGACGTAAGTGGGGAGGAACTTTTGTCAAACGCCTAAAATGAACAATGAAAATTGAAAACAAAAAATCTAAATTCGAGATAGAGTCATGATCAAAAAATATTTTAATAATAACAGCTTTGATCTAAATGACATACAACACCAGTTACAAGGACGTATTCACTATCCGGCAAACTTAAATTGGTGCTACACTATGCAGATTTCGTTTGTTTGATGTCGTCTTGAGAAGCCACTAGAAGCGCATGGGGTCTTTTTATTTCATGTCATATGTAAAGGGTATTGTATCACCCTTACCTAAAGATGGTTCTAATACCCAAACGATACATTGATCATTTATATTATATGGACACTTCATACCATAAAATGTCAAATACTATCATCTGCTCACCAGTATTCGTGCCCTTTTATATTTATATATATATACCTTTGTGCATTTCCTTGTCTAAGGGGTTGTTTAATGTTAATCTGAAATTAAAATCCCTTCACTAGTACTTAATGAGAAGCCTTGAAAGATTTCCATGACCTTTTGGAGATGCACACTTTGATCCATCAAGGCTATACCTTTCAGTTCCTAGGGATAACTAAAGACAGTTAGCAGATGGTCTACCCTTTAGTCCCCGGATCTTAGACCCTTCAGTTCCCTTCATTACTGTCACGGAAAACTGACAGTCAGTTGGAATCATCAGCTTGGTGAATTCACAACTTATATGTCAAAAATCACAACTCATCTGCTTGGTGTACTAACAGTTAAGATTTTTTAAACAAAACTCACCTGCACAGTAAACTGACAGGCGATGTATGTTTCGTAGTCGAGCTCCCGAACCACTTGTAGTTGACCGTTCCTTTCATTGACATTGAAGTCCAACGAACACTCTACAAACCAATTCTAGACATAGACTTTTGGTACAGAGATCCATGTACATGTTCAGCCAACCTGGTCAACAACTACCAGTTTCTTCCCAATCACTTTTTTCTAAGCGAACTAGCAAGCTGTCTGTAGACATATGAAGGGGTTTATAACAAAGACAGATTTGACAATCTAATTATCTCAACAGAAGTTTCTAATGCACTTGTATCCACACTAAAGGATATTATCGCTCCCTAAACAGTATCTTTATCCAAAAAGTTGAATATACCCATTCTGAATTGAAATTGGCGGTGAAAAACGATGTAATGGTCAATGTACAAACATATTTTAAATATGTGATTACATAATCAAATACAGTACAGAATACATGTAAAAACGACATTTGTGAAAACACTTTTTTTTTCCATTATAACTTTTTAAAGGAATTCACGGGTATTGTCCCCAATATAATCTGTTAAAACCATGTGTTCTGTTAGTATAAGATTGCATCTTGACACACATCTGTTACAAATCTGGTACAGAATTTTCACAAATTAAGTTCACCCCTAGAAATAAAATAACTAGTTCCAAATCTGGCTCACTGGTTTAGTACAATATTATACCTGTCTACGTTCATCATCTTTACATACCTGAGCTTAAGCCATTGTTGAGGGAGAAATGTATCTCAGCGTTGACCCCTACATCTTTGTCCGTCACACTAATAGTAGTTATAACTGAGTCGACTGCTGTATCTTCTTTTACAACCATCCTGTATTTGTCTCTAAAAAACGCAGGCGGGTGGTCATTTGTGTCTGCTACACTCACGTTAACCTGCACAGAAAATAAACAATTATCATAACACTACATACTAAAGATATATCAGTTGGAGAGGGTATGGGTGTGTGTGTGAGTCACAATCCGTTTAAACTGTATATTTAATGTTAATTCCCATATGGCTAGTGATGCTCTTTCAAATTCTGTCAAGTTTGATCAATCATTCTGAACTAGTTAAATGAATTAGATAACAAAATGCCAGACGGATATATTAATTATAAATGCTGTCCGCTTCCGACAGAATGAAACTCATTTTTATATATTAAGTACATTCGTACCAATGTCAAGTCTCCTGTCGTCGCGCCACTTTCTCGCACACGAACGAAGACAATGTGTTCCGCTTTTGTCTCTCGATCCAGTTTCATTTTAGTTCTGAGAACTCCTGTGATACTGTCAATCGTGAATACGTCTGAGGGGTTGGGAATGTCATAATTTGGAACAAGGCTATTCCGATTTTCTAAGTTTTGGCTCAAATCACCCACGACCGTGTTTGGTTCTTTTTCCTCTGACACATCGAACTTGTGTTGTTGTTCACCAAACCTTAGATTCACATTGGTGTTGGCTGTTACTTGTATTGCAACAGTAGAAGTGACACTCCTTGATGGAAAGCCCCTGTCTTCTACTTTGACCGTTGCATAATATGTGCTAGCGGCAGGAGTTGCTCCAGCTACGGTGCTGATAATGCCGTTATCATCGATAGACACCATATTTGCCCCAGTTAAAGAAAAAGTCACTTGGCCATTTTCACCCGAGTCTTTATCTTCAGCATCCACAACCATGACTGGTCTGCTCTCTACAAAGTCATTTCTAAAAACAACCGAAAATGTTATCACCATTGATTAAGAACACAGGGCACAGGGTAAACAAGTGCAACAGATCTGAATTCACTCCAAACATAAAATCCAAGTCTGTTTACAGTCAATTTAAACTAAACCATGTATTGCCAATGTAGCTAGGAAGATAAAAACAGTTTGTTTCCTGAATTGAATCATATTTCCAAAAGGAGAAGCCGGATGGAAAAAACTCATTCATTGAAAGGAACAACACTGCAGATATCTCCCTATCAGGACAGACAACTGTTTCCATAATAAAAACACTTACAGGAAATAAGTACATCAAATATAAGTTTGCTTTTATTTCAGTTTAAAAAAACCCACCCACGAGTCTTTTTCCGATTAGCGACAAAATAAAACACCCATGGTGAAACCCCGAGCATTAAAGGGATTACACAACTGAATGCTGTAACGTTTACCCAATGACATTGTGATCTGTCTCCAAATTATGTGTTTAAACGGATAAAACAATATGTAGCATAGATTCGTTTTCGATAAAGCAAGATCGTGTCCAGGTGTGGTTTTGGTGTTGCAGAAAACTTCCTGTTGTAGACTGGCTGTATCGGGGTGTGTGACAGTTGTTTTGAAGTGATAGAACACTTATTGCTTTAGGCTGGCTGTATCGAGGTGTGTGACAGTTCTTTTAGTTTTATAGAACACTTATTGCTTTAGACTGGCTGTATCGGGTTGTGTGACAGTTGTTTTAGTGTTATAAAACACTCATTGCTTTAGACTGGCTGTATCGGGATGCCATGCAGTTGTTTTAGTGTTATAGAACACGTATTGCTTTAGACTGGCTGTATCAGGGTGTGTGACAGTTGTTCTAGTGTTATAGAACACTTATTGCTTTAGACTGGCTGTATCGAGGTGTGTGACAGTTGTTTCGAAGTTATAGAACACTAATTGCTTTAGACTGGCTGTATCGGGGTGTGTGACAGTTGTTTTAGTGTTATAGAACACTTATTGCTTTAGACTGGCTGTATCGGGGGGTGTGACAGTTGTTTTAGTGTTATAAAACACGTATTGCTTTAGACTGGCTGTATCGGGGTGTATGGCAGCTGTGTTAGTGTTATAGAACACTTATTGCTTTAGACTGGCTGTATCAGGGTGTGTGACAGTTGTTTTAGTGTTAAAAAACACTTATTGCTTTAGACTGGCTGTATCGGGATGTATTGCAGTTGTTTTAGTGTTATAGAACATTTATTGCTTTAGACTGGCTGTATCGGGGTGTGTGACAGTTGTTTTAGTGTTAAAAAACACGTATTGCTTTAGACTGGCTGTATCGGGGTGTATGACAGTTGTGTTAGTGTTATGGAAAAAATATTGCTTTGGACTGGCTGTATCGGGGTGTGTGACAGTTGTTTTAGTGTTATAGAACACGTATTGCTTTAGACTGGCTGTATCGGGGTGTATGACAGTTGTGTTAGTGTTATGGAAAAAATATTGCTTTGGACTGGCTGTATCGGGGTGTGTGACAGTTGTTTTAGTGGTATGGAAAAAACATTGCTTTGGACTGGCTGTACCAGGATGTGTGACAGTTGTTTTGGTGTTATGGAACACTTATTGCTTTAGACTGGCTGTATAGGGGTGTGTGACAGTTGTTTTGAAGTTATATAACACTTATTGCTTGAGACTGGCTGTATCGGGGTGTGTGACAGTTGTTTTGAAGTGATAGAACACTAATTGCTTTAGACTGGCTGTATCGGGGTATGTGACAGTTGTTTTAGTGTTATAGAACACTTGTTGCTTTAGACTGGCTGTATCGGGGTGTATGACAGTTGTTTTAGTGTTATAAAACACGTATTGCTTTAGACTGGCTGTATCGGGATGTATGGCAGTTGTTCTAGTGTTATAGAACACTTATTGCTTTAGACTGGCTGTATCGGGGTGTGTGACAGTTGTTTTAGTGTTATAAAACACGTATTGCTTTAGACTGGCTGTATCGGGGTGTATGACAGTTGTGTTAGTGTTATGGAAAAAATATTGCTTTGGACTGGCTGTATCGGGGTGTGTGACAGTTGTTTTAGTGTTATAGAACACGTATTACTTTAGACTGACTGTATCGGGGTGTGTGACAGTTGTTTTAGTGTTATGGAAAAAACATTGCTTTGGACTGGCTGTACCAGGATGTGTGACAGTTGTTTTGGTGTTATGGAACACTTATTGCTTTAGACTGGCTGTATAGGGGTGTGTGACAGTTGTTTTGAAGTTATATAACACTTATTGCTTGAGACTGGCTGTATCGGGGTGTGTGACAGTTGTTTTGAAGTGATAGAACACTAATTGCTTTAGACTGGCTGTATCGGGGTATGTGACAGTTGTTTTAGTGTTATAGAACACTTGTTGCTTTAGACTGGCTGTATCGGGGTGTATGACAGTTGTTTTAGTGTTATAAAACACGTATTGCTTTAGACTGGCTGTATCGGGATGTATGGCAGTTGTTCTAGTGTTATAGAACACTTATTGCTTTAGACTGGCTGTATCGGGGTGTGTGACAGTTGTTTTAGTGTTATAAAACACGTATTGCTTTAGACTGGCTGTATCGGGGTGTATGACAGTTGTGTTAGTGTTATGGAAAAAATATTGCTTTGGACTGGCTGTATCGGGGTGTGTGACAGTTGTTTTAGTGTTATAGAACACGTATTACTTTAGACTGACTGTATCGGGGTGTGTGACAGTTGTTTTAGTGTTATGGAAAAAACATTGCTTTGGACTGGCTGTACCAGGATGTGTGACAGTTGTTTTGGTGTTATGGAACACTTATTGCTTTAGACTGGCTGTATAGGGGTGTGTGACAGTTGTTTTGAAGTTATATAACACTTATTGCTTGAGACTGGCTGTATCGGGGTGTGTGACAGTTGTTTTGAAGTTATATAACACTTATTGCTTGAGACTGGCTGTATCGGGGTGTGTGACAGTTGTTTTAGTGTTATGGAACACTTATTGCTTTAGAATGGCTGTATCGGGGTGTGTGACAGTTGTTTTGAAGTTATATAACACTTATTGCTTGAGACTGGCTGTATCGGGGTGTGTGACAGTTGTTTTAGTGTTATAGAACACGTATTGCTTTAGACTGGCTGTATCGGGGTGTGTGACAGTTGTTTTAGTGTTATAGAACACGTATTGCTTTAGACTGGCTGTATCGGGGTGTATGACAGTTGTGTTAGTGTTATGGAAAAAATATTGCTTTGGACTGGCTGTATCGGGGTGTGTGACAGTTGTTTTAGTGGTATAGAACACGTATTACTTTAGACTGACTGTATCGGGGTGTGTGACAGTTGTTTTAGTGTTATGGAAAAAACATTGCTTTGGACTAGCTGTACCGGGATGTGTGACAGTTGTTTTTTGTGTTATGGAACACTTATTGCTTTAGACTGGCTGTATCGGGGTGTGTGACAGTTGTTTTGAAGTTATATAACACTTATTGCTTTAGACTGGCTGTATCGGGGTGTGTGACAGTTGTTTTAGTGTTATGGAAAAAACATTGCTTTGGACTGGCTGTACCGGGATGTGTGACAGTTGTTTTGGTGTTATGGAACACTTATTGCTTTAGACTGGCTGTATCGGGGTGTGTGACAGTTGTTTTGAAGTTATATAACACTTATTGCTTGAGACTGGCTGTATCGGGGTGTGTGACAGTTGTTTTAGTGTTATAGAACACGTATTGCTTTAGACTGGCTGTATCGGGGTGCATGACAGTTATGTTAGTGTTATGGAAAAAATATTGCTTTGGACTGGCTGTATCGGGGTGTGTGACAGTTGTTTTAGTGGTATAGAACACGTATTACTTTAGACTGGCTGTATCGGGGTGTGTGACAGTTGTTTTAGTGTTATGGAAAAAACATTGCTTTGGACTAGCTGTACCGGGATGTGTGACAGTTGTTTTTTGTGTTATGGAACACTTATTGCTTTAGACTGGCTGTATCGGGGTGTGTGACAGTTGTTTTGAAGTTATATCACACTTATTGCTTGAGACTGGCTGTATCGGGGTGTGTGACAGTTGTTTGAGTGGTATAAAACACGTATTGCTTTAGACTGGCTGTATCGGGGTGCATGACAGTTATGTTAGTGTTATGGAAAACATATTGCTTTGGACTGGCTGTATCGGGGTGTGTGACAGTTGTTTTAGTGGTATAGAACACGTATTACTTTAGACGGGCTGTATCGGGGTGTGTGACAGTTGTTTTAGTGTTATGGAAAAAACATAGCTGTTGACTGGCTGTACCGGGATGTGTGACAGTTGTTTTGGTGTTATGGAACACTTATTGCTTTAGACTGGCTGTATCGGGGTGTGTGACAGTTGTTTTGAAGTTATATAGCACTTATTGCTTGAGACTGGCTGTATCGGGGTGTGTGACCGTTGGTTTAGTGTTATGGAACACTTATTGCTTGAGACTGGCTGTATCGGGGTGTGCGACAGTTGTTTTAGTGTTATAGAACACCTATTGCTTTATACTGGCCGATCGGGTGTGCGATAGTTTTTTTGGTGTTATGGAACACTTATTGCGTTATATTGGCTGTATCGTTGTGTGCGATAGTTGTTTTGGTGTTATGGAACACTTATTGCCTTATATTGGCTGTACCGGGATGTGTGACAGTTGTTTTGGTGTTATAGAACATTTATTGCTTTAGACTGGCTGTATCGGGGTGTGTGATTGTTGGGTTGGTGATATAAAACAAACAGCTGTAGACGGGCTGTGTCAGGGCGAGATGTTGTTGCGTTGAGTGTATAGTACACTTACTGCTGAAGACTGGCGGTATCGGGATGGGTGATGTTAGGAGTGTTGTCGTTGATATCCCGCAGATTTATAATGACTGTTCCTGATGTCTGACGAGGACTCGATCCTTTGTCTCTCACAGTCACCGGTAGTTTATATTGCTGTTGTTCTTCGTAGTCCAGTATGTTTACGCACTTGATTTCTCCAGTGTTTTGGTCCACAGTGAATCGTGCGCTTCATGGTTGCAATGATGGAAATACATTAAAATACAGAAATGGTCAAAATATATTTATTTGAACATTAATTAACAAAAAAAACTATGAACAATCGATTGTTGGAATTGTCTCTGACAATACAAGATCATGGTGGCAATATTCAATTTGTTATACATCAAATCATTTAATACAAGGCGCAAGTATTACAAGACAATCCATAGTCCCCCACCGGAAATGGTTTCTTTATTTATTGATTTGTACACCTATCTCGGGGATATAGGCCACAAGGACATACGAACTCTGGTAACATCAGGTGAAAAAGTATAGAAGATCTGCTCCGGAAAAAAACTTTCCTTTTTCAAATGATAAGGCCAAAGGCCAAAGCACAAGTCAGAGCCACCTACTTTTTGTACTTGACAATCTGCCATCCCAAGATGTACTTGCATACCAAACGTGGTTGCTCAAGTTGAAAAAAAAACTCATAAAATATCTACCCCGGAAAAACGTTTCCAAAGGTTGATTTTAAAAGTCAAACCATAGGTCAAAGTAACCAATTTCATACAACGGAAGAAAACATGTGTTTCTGTTATTTGAAAAAAAGACAAACATGAATATTTTCACATTTGCATGACTGCTACTCCACTTCATCCACTATGTACTATAGTATGAATGTTACTCATCAAGAAACCAAGGATATCCTCTACAAATGTACTTACTCGGACTATCCTCTACAAATGTACTGACTTCGAATATCGTCTACGAATGTACTTACTCGGAATATCTACAAAGGCACTTACTCTGATATCTACAGATGTATTTACTTGGAATATCTTCTTTAAAAGCACTTACTTTGAATATCCTCTACAAATGTACTTACTCGGAATATCCTCTACAAATGCACTTACTCAGTATATCATGTACAAAGGTACTTACTCGGATGTGCTGTATTGGAGTGTGTCACTATCATCGTTGTCTATTGCGCTAAGAATTCCAATCGGATTCGTTAAACATGGAACCTCTTCGTCCGTCGACATCACAAGAGAACTGTCAATGAACACAGGACTATTGTCATTAACGTCATCGACGCTTACTGTGACTGTCGTGGAGGAGCTTCGTGGGGGGTCACCGCCATCAATTGCAGTAACTGTGAGTCCGTATGATGACTGAAGCTCCCTGTCCAGTGGAACGGTTACAGAGACTACTCCAGTCTTATAGCCGATGTCAAATGAATCCCCTCCCCCGTCAAGCAAGTACGACAGGTTTGCATTTCTTCCTGCATCATTGTCAACAGCAGGAACACTAATCAGGTTGTTATCCATTGTATTTTCAGAGATAGTCACACTACAGCAAAAATATAAAGTGAATGTTTTATCATATAGATATATAGGATAGGTTATTAGGCTCGTGTCTATAGCTATCGACAGGATTGTGTAAAAGCAAAAGTGTCAATTATACTGCAGAAGAATAATTAAATAATATCACTTATATTGCCGGATTTAAAAAAAAATAGTTTGATCTTAAGATTTTAATGAAAGTTATACGGTGCTGAAAATGGGAGTGAAAACCAGAAAAACACAGTTTGTGTGTAAGGGGACTAAATGCCGTATTTTGAGAGGAAAGTCCGCCGAACTGCATTGGCGCCGCTTAATTTAGTGCAAATAAAATGCCATCGAGTTGATTAAAGACTAACTAGTCTAAACAATCGTTAAATTTATCAATAATTTGCACATACGCTCCGATCCCCATATGAATCGCAAATAGTTCAATGATTGAATACTCGATGATTAACAATTTAAAGATTTTTTGCTTTTTAATTCCAAATATACATGCACACGATATCACCTAGATATCTATAAACAACCAGGCTGGAGTTACTGGATACATAGATAGGAGAGGAGGTAATTTGATGTTCTTGATCAGAAAAGCGCTGAAATTACGGTTCAAAAAACCTCCTGAAAGATGATGTAGTCACCTACAATTTCAACCCCTTGATAAGTCAAATTCAAAGACATCAATTAAAAATCAGAACTTATATAATGTAATTTGTAAATATTGAAGTTGTACATTGGCTATACAAAAAGTACATAGCGAGGTTAACGTGGTCGAAAATAAGGCATTAAGGCTGATGTCTTCGTAAAAATAGCTCACCGGACTTCAAACATGTCAATATTTTTTACAACCCAACTAAGTGCTAAGAAATGTCCCATAATTTAAAGTTTATTTATATACCTAGGTCATGCGGAGCTTTATTTCTCTTTCACTAGCTGCTGAGAGGAATTCTGACCGCAAATGTTGCCATGCGAAACCACTAAAATCTTAGTAAAATCCACTGGTAATACATTTTAGCAGGCTAAAAATAAGAAAACAAATGCTAAGTAACCTTGGTCGATACATTAACTTTAGATGCTATGCCATTTTATAATATTTGTGATTTTATGAAAGCGCTAGACATGCTTTAAACATTGAAGCGGAAAAGTACAATAATGTTTATAACAAGTTTAGCTTTTTAATAAGAAAAGACAATAGTAGTTTTGTTGGTCATAGGTCTATGGTTTTACACATATATACAGGTAAAATATGTTACTCGGACGTTTTACTATGATTTTGTACATTCCCAAAGCAACAATCATCTACTTGTGAGGCTGGTATGCCAATCTACACCTTATTTAAGAGAAATTAAGTCCCGCATGACCTAGGTATATAACTTCAAATAAAATGTAATTTCGTAACATTCGGTAAGGTCACTAAAGAGATAGACATGTTATAAATCCGGTGAGCAATTTTCATCAAGACATCAGCCTTTATGCTTTATTATTGACTACGTTAACCTGATAAAGACGGTTTTTAATAGCTCATGCACAAGTTTAATATATTTAAATTACATATATATATACTTCTTTTTAAAATGGGTCTTTGAATATGACTCATCAGGGGGTTGACATTTAGGGTGACTATTACATATTTTAGGGGGATTGTTCAACACTGAAGGCAACAAACAATCCACAAAAAAACTTTTGAAAACTCAATTTCTATCTAAAAAGTAATTAACAGAAGCTGTTGGAGAATAGCATAACTCGCATACTGGTGATATGTGTTATTATAAGATAGCAAATATTAAAAGAAACACACGTACAGTAAAACCTCGATATAATGCCCGTCATTTGCCACCTTGCTTACCACCAACATATTGTAAGTGAAAGTTTTTAGGTGTAAGTAAGCCCTGAAGTATGTATATGTGTTTAACAATTGGAAGTATGTAGGTGTACTTAAGCCCTAAAGGTATGTAGGTGTAATAAAGCCATTGATGTATGTAGGTGTAATAAAGCCCTGGAAGTATGTAGGTGTAATAAATCCATTGAAGTATGTAGGTGTAATAAATCCATTGAAGTATGTAGGTGTAATAAATCCATTGAAGTATGTAGGTGTGTGTAAAAATTGGAAGTAAGAAGGTGTGTGTAAAAATTTGACGTATGTAGGTGTAATAAAGCCTTTGATGTATGTAGGTGTAATAAAGCCTTGTAAGTATGTAGGTGTAATAAAGCCCTGGGCGTATCTAGGTGTAATAAAGCCCTGGAAGTATGAAGGTGTAATAAAGCCCTTGAAGTATGTTGGTGTAATGAAGCCCTGGAATTATGTAGGTGTAATAAAGCCATTGAAGTATGTAGGTGTAATAAAGCCTTTGATGTATGTAGGTGTAATAAAGCCCTGGAAGTATGTAGGTGTAATGAAGCCCTGGAAGTATGTAGGTGTAATAAAGACATTAAAGTATGTTGGTGTAATACAGCCCTTGAAGTATGTAGGTGTAATAAAGCCATTGAAGTATGTAGGTGTAATGAAGCCCTGGAAGTATGTAGGTGTAATAAAGCCCTGGAAGTATGTAGGTGTAATGAAGCCCTGGAAGTATGTAGTGTAATAAAGCCATTGAAGTATGTAGGTGTGTGTACAAATTTGAAATATATAGGTGTGTGTAAAAGTAGGAAGTATGTTGGTGTGTGTAAAAATTTGAAATATGTAGATGAAATAAAACCCTGGAAGTATGTAGGTGTAATTAAGCCCTCGAAATATGTAGGTGTGGGTAAAAATTGGACGTATGTAGGTTTGTGTAAAAATTGGAAGTATGTAGGTGTAATAAAGACCTTGAAGTTTATAGGTGTAATGAAGTCCTGGGGTATGTAGGTGTATGTAAGACTTGGAAATATATAGGTGTGTGTAAGACTTGGAAGTATATAGGTGTGTAGGCATGAAGTAGAATGTTATAAGAGTGTGTGTAAGTAGTGGGATTATGTACGAGTGATTAAGAGGTGTAATTATATAGGTATATTTACTTTTTCCACTGTAAGTTCAAGAGGCAATACCAGAGGAAATTGCGTTCACAGAGCTATGTTGGTGCATGTAAAAGCGTTTATAATTCATCTTAATATGATGTCTATAGTATTTTTGGTATGAAGAATCATATCAGTACCTTCTTGAAATTAAGTAAAACGAATGAACACCAAGCCAAATTACTAGAGAAAGTCTATCAGCCAACAAAAATAAATGAGGCAGTCATATCAAAAATACCTGTATGATGCCTGAGGGAATACCGGATCGTTATCATTTCGGTCACCAATTGTCACCTTGACCACGGCTTGGTTTGTGTTCTTGCCATCATCAGCTACTACTGCCACATTATACATAGTAGTTGCCTCTCTGTCAAATCGCTGTATCGTTGAAATCTCGCCAGATTGTGATATAGCGAAGCGGCTACTTTCCTGAGTAATTCTGAAGGTGAAACTTCCTATGTCCGCATCAGTGGCCGTTATTGGAAAGTCAAGCTACAAAACAGAGTGGTTAAACAAATCAGTAAATGAATAAGATTAATCTCAGGACCATCAAATTATCTCATACAGCTGATAATTCCAAGTGGCAAAACTATACATGGCACAGCATTATCTCTATCAAGGATCTGAGCCCTAACAATGATTTTAGCAAGTTAAAAAAAAAAGTTAAAGAAATCCTCTAATCACAATATCAAAATAGTTTTGCTTTTTTTTACCCATCTTATCTTCATGTCTTAATTTAAGAAGATCAAACCATAAGTCTGGTACATTTTTAAATATTAGTCCTCACCTGTATTTCTAATGAAATTTGCGTCATTTTAACTTTAAAGGTATTGTACCCATTGTGATATTATAATGCAATATAGAGGTCTGTGATATCGTTTGATCATAATTTTATAACGTCTTCTCAGCCATAATGTGAAAAAAATCACTTAACATCAATCCCATACCTTGTTTCATTCTAAATATATGTTGCCATAGCTGAATTTCAAAATTGCCGACTGAACGCTGAGTTTGCACATCTAGGACCTAAGAAGAACATGCCATTAACTTGTGAAAGATCCGTCAGTTACTTTCTGGGAAATAGTGATAAACTTGATATGCAGATGGACGGTCAGAGCACGGGAAAAATCACGATTTGAAAAGCCCGTCATCTGATTTCAGATGGTAGGCTTAAAAAATGGCATGCTTGTATTCACTGAAAAAATATGACAATCATTTGATAACACAGTTGTGTGATACAAGGATTGTCACAAAGACTTCACCTTGTATATATAAGTAAGATTAAATGTTGTGTAATATTTACCTTTACTATGCTATTTACAGGCATGTTCTCGTCCACTCTTCCTTCGTAGCTAGTTCTGCCAAACACCGGGGAATTATCATTGGCATCTAATACAGTTATATTCAGATCTCCAATCACCTAGCAAAAATAAGCACGAGAAAATATTTATCAGTTAATTTTAATCCAGTAACACATTCACCCATTAGTTATCATTGTTCACCCTGAGTGTTACTTTTGCCTTTACATTGGGATTTTAAATACGTATCTTTCGCTTTATCAACGTCGTGGTGAAATTCTGTCATCCTAAGGACGAAAGTTTTATCAAATCTATATACACATGAAATATAGTTCAGCATCAGGTTAAACCCTCAGAGCTTCGTGAGGTAAGAATTCTCGAAGTCCTTAAAAAAATCACTAAACACTTGGTACTCTATTTAACTGGAAGGTGATAACGTGTAGGTCAAAGTTTAATAAAATGGGTGATATGCAACTTGTGTTAATACATAATAATGGATCCTGTTTAATATGAAACTAACTTTATATGTTTTATGTTCCCCCATCCTTCACAGGTGTGTCGCCCTTTTAAACCAGAAAATATCAGCTTGTAACCCACGAGGGGAAGATAGCCTCGTGCACAATGGCGCGATCTAAGTCATAACAATAGTATGACGTCACGTCATAAATTCATTGACGTCATGTCAACAGTAGCAGACCATGGAAGACAATTCTGGATTTGCTGAAAAAACATGCAATCACCGCTTGTCGGCGGATTTGTGAGTGAGACAGGATGAGAGAAAAACTATTATCCATCAAGGAACGGGAAGATTTTATTAATCTCATTGTCGTTAAAATAGGCATATGTAAAAATATTCATAAATGTTAATACAATGACGTCACTTCAGGTAAAAATCTGTGTAGAAGAAGAAAATGGAGATGACAGTTTTTTTGTCTGCATCTTAACTTTATCTGTGCCTTGTACTATCATTAATTTACTTATACACCACAAATTGTGCTGCAAGCAGGGGAAAAAAAAGAAGGAAAAAAAAAGATGTGGCAGATGCACTTAAATGTTAACCCTCCCTGAAGACAATGAAAGAGAATCGCTCTGTGAAAATTAAAATTCCACGGAAGTACTTACAACAAGTGCGCATGTCTGGCTTTTTTCTTCAATAGCAGTCACAGAAAACTTATAGCTGTCCCGGGTCTCTCGGTCTAAAAACTGACTCACTGTTACCAGTCCCTGTAATGACACCAAACAGAAGTGTTTAAGATGATAAAAGACATGAAATTAAAACAATAAAAAAATAATTCCACATCTTGAAAAAAGGAAAAAGGAATAATTCAAAAACTTCAAACGTTAAAAACTTGTAATACAAACTGAAAACCATATTTATCAGCCCATATAAGTGAACAAAAATCCACTTTTATCATTAATTCATATATAATTAAATTTCACGAGAGGCAACTATGCGATAATGTGCTATTGCAATGAAACACAAATTGATGGTAAATGGCTAAATGTGTCTATTTGAATAAATCACCGCGTTGGTATTTAATTTGTCAGAATTTAGGGAAACTTTCCGGAAATATGTGTTAACGAAAGGCATTTTAACAATCTCTGGAAAAAACTGAAATGTTTTGACAGGACAAATAAGTCCTCTTCATAAGAAAGGTGACACTTTTAAATATACCAAAATTTTCAGCATATAACTTACCTCTTACAGAAAAAACTTTTTCTTTAAACATTTCAAAAGTATTACTGAAGTCACCAGGAGACTATTTTTTTCAGACTCTTATTCTGAAGATAGACCACATTGCAAACAATCATAAGTTAATAATTTCGATAGTCTCGTTTCAGGTTAATAAAAGTGAGCTGGACAGTAGAAGATTTACTCACTGTACTAGGGTGGATGGAGAAGATAGCTGAACCGGTCCGACTTGCAAACTCATACTGGGTGTACCCCGATTCAGAAACAGTTATCACCGCTGTCGCTATAGATACATTTTCAAAGACACCAGCACGATAGTTACGGCCAAGGTTACGTTCAGGCGTCCTCTTCAGATACACGGTCACAGTACACGAGTTGGTGTGGAGGATGGTTTCATCTCGTACCAGTACCGTGAAGGTCGCCGTCTGGTCCTCACCAACACCCGTGCTATTTATGAACGGAATCATGTCTGTCCTTACACGCGTGCTCACTATGCCGTCATATTGTCCCACTGTAAAATAGCTCACCATGGCGGACTGTGGATCGATGGTGTAATTTAGCTGTCAAAGAAAGCATTATTTTCAAGTTGGATCTGATAGGATTAATAATCATCTGACCCACATAAATACGTTATTTCGAATATAATTCCATCGTAAAGGGTCTTCTTTTGGTTTTTTTTGTATCCACCAAATTTAAAACATTATTTATCTGAGGGCCAACAGACTACAGATATCGGTTTATCTCTTGGCAGTTATAACAAGCATGTGTTTTGGACTCTGACGCCTAACATACAACAGTACATTTTTAAGGATCATAAATATAAGTACCTGTTTGCTTACCAACCTATACAAATCACCATGACCGAATGAATCCATCCGGGTTTTTTTATTAATAAACGCATGTATATTACCTGTTATTTTTTTATTATCCTTACATTTTCACTAAGAGTGTTTTTGTTATGAGTTTTAATTCTAAGCAAAAATGCGCAGATTTGCATATAAATTTGATTAAAACAAAAAAGAATGGTTAGAAATGAAATATGTAAAACTTCAGACAAAGGGAAACCATGAACTATGAGAAAGATACGCCCAGTACTGATTGAGAAATAAAGTTAACAAGAATCGATTAAGGATCCAAGATGAAGGGCGATTTGAACAGCCCATCATCATCATCATCATCATCATCATCACGGGCTAAACGAATAAAAAAAGCTAGATTATGTCTTACTTGTAAAGATTTTGAACTTACCTGCTTCAAAAGGGGCTTACTTATACAATGATAGGTAATGTTAGATCACACGAACCTGTGATCCCGAATCCTCGTCCCTAGCCCTCACTGCTCCACAAACAACGGATGAGATTGGCGTGGGGAACAAGGTGAAGCTGTATTGATCTGTGCCATCGCCGGTGTCTGTTACAAATCCAGGACTGTTATCGTTGGCCGGTAGCACTTCTATGGCCACTGCGACAGGTATGGTATAGGAGGTGATTTGGACAGTGAACGAGAAGCTGAAACTTCTCTGTCCTTTATCATAGTCCAGTTCTCCTGCATTCTGTATTTTAAGCACAGTGCCGTCAAATGCAAAAATATTATTGTTTATTCCAGATGTTACACGCACATTTAAGGAGGACTGAAGTAGCTTTCTAAACGATGCCACTACAAAGTTGTTGTTTCTACCTTCTGAAATTCTTCTTTCGATCTGCGTGCTCAAGATAACGGCAGTTAGACTAGTCGAAGTTGTGGAAGAATCCACAAGGCGTTGGATGTTTGTTGTCAGAATCGTTGCAACTTCATCATCGTCAGCTAGGAACAAATGCAAATTATTTATTTTAGCAATAAACCTGCTTGTCTGCTACAATATCATGAGAAGTACAATGGTCATTTTTTTTTTATAAATCGATAGTTAGCATGTGGGTAAATTTCTGATAGAACATAAACTCAACAACACAAAGATTTATAGACTTTCGTCTGGAAGAATTTGGTCAGTAGTTGCGTCAAAAATACCATGACGTAGTATCAGATGCATTTTGACAATTGGCCCTTCTAAACCATGAAATAAAACCTGGCCTATACATATTTGATTAATATGTACTTTTTTCATATATTTTGATATTATAGGTAGAATTGTGTATGGTTATGGGTGGATAGTGCAATAAATGAAAGTAGCACTACTGCCATAATAACTTCACCTAAACACTAAATATCTAATTAAATGAACATACCTCAAACAACATGTATTCTGGTAATCCAACCTTTACCATTACATCTTAACTAAAAGGAACCTATCTAAGCGGAAACTAGATTTTTTTTCTGACACCAAATGAGGGAACAAATAAAGATAGTTGATTATTAGAGATGACAGAAAACGCCTGAATGATATCGTATGGTTACCTTATAGTCTCACTGGAGATATCTGTCTATTGTCTGATGGTTGCTATATAGTCTCACTGGAGATATCTGTCTATTGTCTGATGGTTACTATATAGTTTTACTGATTATCCCTGTCTATTGTCTGTTGGTTACTGTATTGTTTTACTGATTATCCCTGTCTATTGTCTGATGGTTGCTATATAGTTTTAATGATTATCCCTGTCTATTGTCTTATGGTTACTATATAGTTTTATTGATTATCCCTGTCTATTGTCTGATGGTTACTGTATAGTTTTATTTATTATCCCTGTCTATTGTCTGATGGTTACTATATAGTTTTACTGATTGTCCCTGACTATTGTCTGATGGTTACTATATAGTTTACTGATTATCCCTGTCTATTGTCTGTTGGTTACTGTATAGTTTTATTTATTATCCCTGTCTATTGTCTGATGGTTACTATATAATTTTACTGATTATCTCTGTCTATTGTCTGATGGTTACTCTATAGTTTTACTGATTATCCCTGTCTATTGTCTGATGGTTACTTTATAGTTTTACTGATTATCCCTGTCTATTGTCTGATGGTTACTATATAATTTTACTGATTATCTCTGTCTATTGTCTGATGGTTACTTTATAGTTTTATTGATTATCTCTGTCTATTGTCTGATGGTTACTATATAGTTTTACTGGTTATCCCTGTCTATTGTCTGATGGTTACTATATAATTTTACTGATTATCTCTGTCTATTGTCTGATGGTTACTTTATAGTTTTATTGATTATCTCTGTCTATTGTCTGATGGTTACTATATAGTTTTACTGGTTATCCCTGTCTATTGTCTGATGGTTACTATATAGTTTTACTGGTTATCCCTGTCTATTGTCTGATGGTTACTATATAGTTTTACTGGTTATCCCTGTCTATTGTCTGATGGTTACTATATAATTTTACTGATTATCTCTGTCTATTGTCTGATGGTTACTTTATAGTTTTATTGATTATCTCTGTCTATTGTCTGATGGTTACTATATAGTTTTATTGATTATCCCTGTCTATTGTCTGATGGTTACTGTATAGATTTACTGATTATCCCTGTCTATTGTCTGATGGTTACTATATAGTTTTATTGATTATCCCTGTCTATTGTCTGATGGTTACTGGATAGATTTACTGATTATCCCTGTCTATTGTCTGATGATTACTATATAGTTTTGCTGATTATCCCTGTCTATTGTCTAATGGTTACTATATAGTTTTACTGATTATCCCTGTCTATTGTCTGGTGGTTACTATAAAGTTTTACTGATTATGACTGACTAATGTCTGATGGATACTATATAGTTTTAATGATTATCCCTGTCTTTTGTCTGATGGTTACTATTGTCTGATTGTAACTATATAGTTGTACTGATTATCCCTGTCGATTGTCTGATGGTTACTGGATAGATTTACTGATTATCCCTACTGATTATCCCTGGCTATTGTCTGATGTTTACTTTATTGTTTTATTGATTATCCCTGTCTATTTTCTGGTGGTTACTATAAAGTTTTCCTGATTATCCCTGTCTTTTGTCTGATGGTTACTTTATTGTTTTATTGATTATCCCTGTCTTTTGTCTGATGGTTACTGGATAGATTTACTGATTATCCCTATAAAGTTTTACTGATTATGCCTGTCTATTGTCTGTTGGTTACTGTATTGTTTTACTGATTATCGCAGTCTATTGTCTGATGGGTACTATATAGTTTTAATGATTATCCCTGTCTAGTGGCTGGTGGTTACTATATAGGTTTACTGATTATCCCTGCCTATTGTTATTGTCTGATGGATACTATATAGTTTTATCGATTATCCATGTCTATTGTCTATGGTTACTATATAGGTTTACTGATTATCCCTATAAAGTTTTACTGATTATGACTGACTAATGTCTGATGGATACTATATAGTTTTAATGATTATCCCTGTCTGTTGTCTGATGTTTACTTTATTGTTTTATTGCTTATCTCTGTCTATTGTCTGGGGGTTACTATATAGTTGTATTGATTATCCCTGTCTTTTGTCTGATGGTTACTGTATAGATTTACTGATTATCCCTATCTATTGTCTGATGGATACTATATAGTTTTAATGATTATCCCTGTCTTTTGTCTGATGGTTACTTTTTAGTTTTACTGATTATGCCTGTCTATTGTCTGGCGGTTACTATAAAGTTTTCCTGATTATCCCTGTCTTTTGTCTGATGGTTACTATATAGTTTTACTGATTATCCCTGTCTATTGTCTGGTGGTTACTATAAAGTTTTACTGATTATCGCTGTCTATTGTCTGATGGTTACTTTATAGTTTTACTGATTATCCCTGTCTATTGTCTGATGGTTACTATATCGATTGACTGATTATCCCTGTCTATTGTCTGTTGGTTACTGTATAGTTTTACTGATTATTCCTGTCTATTGTCTGATAGTTACTATATAGTTTTACTGATTATCCCTGTCTATTGTCTGACGGTTACTATATTGTTCTACTGATTATCTCTGTCTATTGTCTGATGGTTACTATAGAGTTTTACTGATTATCCCTGTCTATTGTCTGGTGGTTACTATAAAGTTTTACTGATTATCGCTGTCTATTGTCTGATGGTTACTTTTTAGTTTTACTGATTATCCCTGTCTATTGTCTGGTGGTTACTATAAAGTTTTACTGATTATCGCTGTCTATTGTCTGATGGTTACTATATAGTTTTACTGATTATCCCTGTCTTGATGTTTACTTTATAGTTTTACTGATTATCCCTGTCTATTGTCTGATTGTTACTTTATTGTTTTATTGATTATCTCTGTCTATTGTCTGATGGTTACTATATAGTTTTACTGATTATCCCTGTCTATTGTCTGTTGGTTACTATATAGTTTTACTGATTATCCCTGTCCATTGTCTGATGGTTACTATATAGTTTTATTGATTATCCCTGGCTATTGGCTGATGGTTACTGTATAGATTTACTGATTATCCCTGTCTATTGTCTGTTGGTTACTATATAGTTTTACTGATTATCCCTGTCTTTTGTCTGATGGTTACTATATAGTTTTACTGATTATCCCTGTCTTTTGTCTGATGGTTACTATATAGTTTTACTGATTATTCCTGTCTATTGTCTGATGGTTACTATATAGTTTTACAGATTATCCCTGTCTATTGTCTGATTGTTACTATATAGTTCTACTGATTATCTCTGTCTATTGTCTGATGGTTACTTTATAGTTTTACTGATTTTCCCTGTCTATTGTCTGATGGTTACTATATAGTTCTACTGATTATCTCTGTCTATTGTCTGATGGTTACTTTATAGTTTTACTGATCTTCCCTGTCTATTGTCTGATGGTTACTATATAGTTCTACTGATTATCTCTGCCTATTGTCTGATGGTTACTATATAGTTTTACTGATTATTCCTGTCTATTGTCTGATGGTTACTATATAGTTTTATCGATTATCCATGTCTATTGTCTGATTGTAACTATATAGTTTTACTGATTATCCCTGTCTATTGTCTGATGGTTACTATATAGTTTTACTGATTATGCCTGTCTATTGTCTGTTGGTTACTGTATTGTTTTACTGATTATCCCTGTCTATTGTCTGATGGTTACTGTATAGTTTTACTGATTATCCCTGTCTATTGTCTGATGGCTACTATATAGTTTTATTGATTATCCCTGCCTATTGTCTGATGGTTACTATATAGGTTTACTGATTATGCCTGTCTATTGTCTGATGGTTACTATATCGATTGACTGATTATCCCTGTCTATTGTCTGATGGGTACTATATAGTTTTACGGATTATCCCTGTCTATTGTCTGATGGGTACTATATAGTTTTACGGATTATCCCTGTCTATTGTCTGATGGCTACTATATAGTTTTATTGATTATCCCTGCCTATTGTCTGATGGTTACTATATAGGTTTACTGATTATCCCTGTCTATTGTCTTATGGTTACTATATAGTTTTACTGATTATTCCTGTCTATTGTCTGATGGTTACTATTGTCTGGTGGTTACTATATAGTTTTACTGATTAGCCCTGTCTATTGTCTGATGGTTACTTTATAGTTTTACTGATTATCCCTCTCTATTGTCTGATGGTTACTATATCGATTTACTGATTATCCCTGTCTATTGTCTGATGGTTACTATATAGTTTTACTGATTATCCCTGTCTATTGTCTGGTGGTTACTATATAGTTTTACTGATTATCCCTGCCTATTGTCTGATGGTTACTATATAGTTTTACTGATTATCCCTGCCTATTGTCTGATGGTTACTATATAGTTTTACTGGTTATCCCTGTCTATTGTCTGGTGGTTACTATATAGTTTTACTGGTTATCCCTGTCTATTGTCTGGTGGTTACTATATAGTTTTATTGATTATGCCTGTCTATTGTCTGATGGTTACTGTTTAGTTTTATTGATTATCCCTGTCTATTGTCTGATGGTTACTATATAGTTTTATTGATTATGCCTGTCTATTGTCTGATGGTTACTGTTTAGTTTTACTGATTATCCCTGTCTATTGTCTGATGGTTACTATATAGTTTTACTGATTATCCCTGTCTATTGTCTGATGGTTACTAAATAATTTTACTGATTATCCCTGTCTATTTTTTGATGGTTACTATATAGTTTTACTGATTATCCCTGTCTATTGTCTGATGGTTACTATATAGTTTTACTGATTATCCCTGTCTATTGTCTGATGGGTACTATGTAGTTTTAATGATTGATTACCCCTGTTTATTGCCTTTTTTTTACTCGAAAACCTTTACATATGTTACTTTATTGTCCGTTGTTTGGTGGTTACTCTAGAGACTTACATGCGATGTCTGCTACGCTTAGCTGTTCTCTTGTGTAAACGTCCCCAGCAGAAGTGATTCTCATGAAGTCAGAGTTGGAGAGTGAAAGGGTTCCACCTGGTGCTACTGATGTTACGAAGTGGCCAGAAAAAGTCATGTCTGGTAAAACAACAACAATGTTATTGACTGAACTCTGAATTGTGACTGTTACAAAGATGGCATCCATAATGACATTGGCGCCGGCTACAAGCTTAGCTTTCACCATAATATGTCTGACACTGGACTCGAGCGGGAGCCTTGAATTGGTGCGAATTGTGACGTTATGACAGGAAGTGACATCAGCCTCAAACAGATCATCGTCTCCAAACAACGTCACTTCCGGTTTCGTTGAACAGATGTTCAATATTTGTGAAAAATCTGCCGTCAATACTACAAGTAAAATGAAATTATATATAAATATACGTTATTGCATGAGTGACATGAAAAATACAAAATGAAGGACGATGCATTACCGGGATTTTACAATAAATTATAATTGACTATATACTGTCTTCATTCAAAAAAGTTACAAATAATAAGTAGCACTAAACTAGTATTCTGGTTCCCCCTTGAATATGTGGTGCATCGGTAAAAAGGGGGCATTCATACTCTGAGTTCCCTTAATCAGAGAAGTTACAACTAGTATTTTTTTCACTCATACTCTAGATACCCCTGAATCGGTAAGGTAAAATCTAGCAACACTTTTCTCAGTAAAGTTACAGATAGTAACCCTTATACTCTGGATTCGTCCGAATCAGTGAAGTAACAACTGGTCATATTTATATTCTGTGAAGTAACATTTAGTAACACTGATACTTAAAATTCCTCTCGGTCGGAAAAGTCAAAGAAAGTAAGTAACACTGATATCCCCTTAATCAGCAGAAGCGTTGAACTGTAGAAAGAAATACCTGTATGTCCTATATTAGCATCGCTTGGTACTGTGGAAAACACTTCGTTAGTACTGAAGATTCCTTCTGGCACTGTAATAAAAGTACATGTTAAATATTTGTGAAGGTTAAGGGTGTAACTGCATCTTTTGCGAAGAAGAGTTCCTCTCAAGAGTTGTTTTCACTCCTCTCGAGTATTCTCCCCTCTGTATTCCGTCTTTGCGTATTGCAGAGTTATCTTCTCTTGGGAGCAGGTATTGATTGTTACGTCATTGGTTTGTGTGAGAAAATTACGTCGTTTTCTCAAAAATTGATGACGTTACTCTCACAAACAAGTGACGTAACAATCAATACCTGCTCACAAGAGAAGATAACTCTGCAATACGCAAAGACGGAATAGAAGATGAGGTAACCAGGCTTAGAGTAACTTCCCTTGTCATGTGTTCTCGTATGCTTTGCGGCCCATACATTGGACTCTGCTTTTGATGCTCTGTTTGTACAATTTCTATATGGCAACATTGGTGAGTGTTGGCTTTGTAATGTGAAGGCTCCCAGTCTGAACCCAGCAGTTTTCCTTTTTTTTTTTTTTTTTCAAGCATTCAAATTTCAAACAACTACAATTTTATGAAATGCGTGGCAACATGTTATTTTTCATGAACTATTCATTTTGAAAAGGTCTTAAATAGTTTTACAAAAAAAATAACTTAAACTAAAAAAAATAACAAAGGACAAATAAATAAATGAAATAAAAAACGCAAAATTGTATCTATGGCATTCAAAATCTAAAATACAATCGTTTGGACATTTGCTATTAATATACAGAGAGAGTCCAAAACCCACTTCAAACAGGCAGTAGTTTGATCATTTTAGAGATCAGATAGTAATGCCAAACATTTATATATTTATTTCAGTCGCCATCACATAATGTTACTGTAAGACAAGATAACTTACATTTCGTGCAATTTACTCCCGTCTCAATAAACCCAGGGATGCAACTGCATTGCCACGTACCATCCTTGTGAGGCATACAAGCACTATTGGTAGCAGTACACCGCGCATCCTGTCCCTGCACGCCACACGAATCATAAAGTTGTCGCCAAGGTCTAGTGACAGGTGCGGATGATGTTGTCGGGCAAGGTTTACTAGTGACAGTCATTGGAACTGTCGTCGTAACTGTCGTTGTAACTGTTGTTGGGAGTGTTGTTTGAACTGTGGCTGAAAAATAATACACACTAAACATTGATCGGTGACTGCTAACCATTGGATGCCCACAGAACAACTGGAAACCACCTGTATTGATGGTGGAAGTTGCGGTGGTAAACTAAAGTTATCACCTTGAATATAAAATATACCATTAGCCTATTTACATGTAACACAGAAAACATTTAGGACGCCACAACAAAAAACATAAAGCTCTCTCATACCATTCCTCTTGGCGAAACACATAGAACCTTACCTTTTTTAACAATCGTGAAAATTTTGCCTGTAGCCGAAAGCTTACCTGATATACACAAAAAAAAAAACCGGAAAAAAACAAAGGATATTTGCCCTGCACTTATAATGAACAGGTCTGAGTCCCTCCAGTCTGGAGCAGTTTGTTCCTGCCTTAGACCTGTGTCCCTCTAACGTAAAGCAGCTTGACCATTCAGCAGGTCTGCGTCCCTAAAGTGTGAAGCAATTTGATAAGTCAGCAGGTCTCCGTTCCTCAGGTGTGGAGCTGTTTGATCAGTCAGCAAATCTCTTTCCCTCGTGTCTTGTTTACTGGAAAAAAAGCAAAGACTTAATATCCAAACATATCAGATCAGATTATGTCCGTTCACTAACTGATGCCTTAATTTGAAGTAGAACAAAAACAAAAACGTATCACTGTATATAATCTGTGAGATATCACTGTATATAATCTGTGAGATATCAGTGTATATAATCTGTGAGATATCACTGTATATAATCTGTGAGATATCACTGTACATAATCTCTAAGACATCACTGTATATAATCTCTAAGACATCACTGTATATACTCTCTAAGATATCACTGTTATAATATGTAAGATATCACTGTCTATAATCTCTTAGATATCACTGTTTATAATCTATAAGACATCACTGTATATACTCTCAAAGATAGCACTGTCTATAATCTATAATCTCTAAGATATCACTGTCTGTAATCTATAAGACATCACTGTTTATACTCTCTAAGATATCACTGTTATAATATGTAAGACATCACTGTCTATAATGTCTAAGATATTACTGTTTAGAATCTATAAGACATCACTGAATATAATCTGTAAGATATCACTTTATATAATCTGCAAGATATCACTGTCTATAATCTCTAAGATATTACTTCAGATAATCTGTAAGATACTTCGTACGTATTGTTGTATCATCTTTTAAATAATTTGGTTGAGATTCACGCGTTTTGATATTCTAATCAGAGCTTATTAAAAATAAGAAAAAAAAACATTAACAGAGAGGTCTGGCTAACACGACACAGGAAATTCCATTATTTAAGAATACTAGTAACACGAAGAAAAAAGTATTTTATGCTAACAATCTGCGTCAGATGTAAATCAATTTAGAGGAAAACTATTGGTTACTTTACCTCAGAACATGGTTTTATAACTGTTGACCTCGTGTTACCTGTTCGGCGCTTACATTTTCGCTGTATTTGACACTTAATGCAGGTGTTTTTTTTATAAGAGATATATTGGATTTTGTTGTTTATTAATGTAAAAAGGGGAAACTGACTTGTGATGCGTATGAAAACAAAGATGTAACAGCTGTTGAACTGAAATATTAGTATGATGATCAATCTTTATTTACAAACAATTTAAAATAAAATTTTGAAAGGTGAGTCTAATTTCGCTTTAAACAATGACATACTCACCAATTACATGATGACTCTTTAAATATGATCACCCTTCTAAGGTAGACCGGAACGTTATCATTGCTAAGGAGTTTACAACGTCACAGCTGTCCATTTTCTGTCCAACATCATTTGTGTTCGATGTACTTTTGTTTTATTCAATCAGGTTTCTTAGGGGACTTTCTGAAATGAAAAATCAGAAAAGTTATTATTTAAAGTAAATGAACAATGAATTTGCTACAAATATTAGATAGACCAATAAAAATATAACACTGTCATGGTCAGTTATATATGTAACACTGTCAAGGTCAGTTATATATAACACTGTCAAGGTCAGTTATATATAACACTGTCAAGGTCAGTTATATATAACACTGTCAAGGTCAGTTATATGTACCACTGTCAGGGTCAGCTATATGTAACACTGTCAAGGTCAGCTATATGTAACACTGTCAAGGCCAGTTATATGTAACACTGTCGAGGTCAGTTATATGTAACACTGTCGAGGTCAGTTATCTGTTACACTGTCAGGGACAGTTATATGTAACACTGTCAGGGACAGCTATATGTAACACTGTCGAGGTCAGTTATATGTAACACTGTCGAGGTCAGTTATATGTACCACTGTCAAGGTCAGTTATATGTAGCCCTGTCAAGGTCAGCTATATGTAACACTGTCAAGGTCAGCTATATGTAACACTGTCAAGGTCAGTTATCTGTAGCACTGTCAAGGTCAGTTATATGTAACACTGTCAAGGTCAGTTATATGTAACACTGTCAAGGTCAGTTATATGTAACACTGTCAAGGTCAGTTATATGTAACACTGTCAAGGTCAGTTATATGTAACACTGTCAAGGTCAGTTATATGTAACACTGTCAAGGTCAGTTATATGTAACACTGTCAAGGTCAGTTATATGTAACACTGTCAAGGTCAGTTATATGTAACACTGTCAAGGTCAGTTATATGTAACACTGTCAAGGTCAGTTATATGTAACACTGTCAAGGTCAGTTATATGTAACACTGTCAAGGTCAGTTATATGTAACACTGTCAAGGTCAGTTATATGTAACACTGTCAAGGTCAGTTATATGTAACACTGTCAAGGTCAGTTATATGTAACACTGTCAAGGTCAGTTATATGTAACACTGTCAAGGTCAGTTATATGTAACACTGTCAAGGTCAGTTATATGTAACACTGTCAAGGTCAGTTATATGTAACACTGTCAAGGTCAGTTATATGTAACACTGTCAAGGTCAGTTATATGTAACACTGTCAAGGTCAGTTATATGTAACACTGTCAAGGTCAGTTATATGTAACACTGTCAAGGTCAGTTATATGTAACACTGTCAAGGTCAGTTATATGTAACACTGTCAAGGTCAGTTATATGTAACACTGTCAAGGTCAGTTATATGTAACACTGTCAAGGTCAGTTATATGTAACACTGTCAAGGTCAGTTATATGTAACACTGTCAAGGTCAGTTATATGTAACACTGTCAAGGTCAGTTATATGTAACACTGTCAAGGTCAGTTATATGTAACACTGTCAAGGTCAGTTATATGTAACACTGTCAAGGTCAGTTATATGTAACACTGTCAAGGTCAGTTATATGTAACACTGTCAAGGTCAGTTATATGTAACACTGTCAAGGTCAGTTATATGTAACACTGTCAAGGTCAGTTATATGTAACACTGTCAAGGTCAGTTATATGTAACACTGTCAAGGTCAGTTATATGTAACACTGTCAAGGTCAGTTATATGTAACACTGTCAAGGTCAGTTATATGTAACACTGTCAAGGTCAGTTATATGTAACACTGTCAAGGTCAGTTATATGTAGCACTGTCAAGGTCAGTTATATGTAACACTGTCAAGGTCAGTTATATGTAACACTGTCAAGGTCAGTTATATGTAACACTGTCAAGGTCAGTTATATGTAACACTGTCAAGGTCAGTTATATGTAACACTGTCAAGGTCAGTTATATGTAACACTGTCAAGGTCAGTTATATGTAACACTGTCAAGGTCAGTTATATGTAACACTGTCAAGGTCAGTTATATGTAACACTGTCAAGGTCAGTTATATGTAACACTGTCAAGGTCAGTTATATGTAACACTGTCAAGGTCAGTTATATGTAACACTGTCAAGGTCAGTTATATGTAACACTGTCAAGGTCAGTTATATGTAACACTGTCAAGGTCAGTTATATGTAACACTGTCAAGGTCAGTTATATGTAACACTGTCAAGGTCAGTTATATGTAACACTGTCAAGGTCAGTTATATGTAACACTGTCAAGGTCAGTTATATGTAACACTGTCAAGGTCAGTTATATGTAACACTGTCAAGGTCAGTTATATGTAACACTGTCAAGGTCAGTTATATGTAACACTGTCAAGGTCAGTTATATGTAACACTGTCAAGGTCAGTTATATGTAACACTGTCAAAGTCAGTTATATGTAGCCCTGTCAAGGTCAGTTATCTGTAACACTGTCAAGGTCAGTTATATGTAACACTGTCAAGGTCAGTTATATGTATTACTGTCAAGGTCAGTTATATATGTAAAACTGTGAAGATCAGTTACTAGTATATGTAATACTTTAAACATCAGCTGTATATATATCAACCACACTGTTCCTGTCGGTGAGAGCGCTGAATGTCGACGTCATTACATTTGATATCCATCTTTTACAATACTGCAGCTAACATAAAATTCGAAAAATACCTTAGTGTATATTCCCTTATAATAGACCCTTTTGTACTCGATTTCAACAGAAAGTTTGTTAGAGTGATATGAAATTTAGTACTTTTGTAAGATTCTTTGTCATGGCTATTTACATTTTTAAAAACGAGACCCACCCAATAGCCAGAGCTTAGTGTGTTTATTTTTTATGCCATACTTCCTGGACCAGGTAAATGTTAATAAAACCTAAAAGATGAATTGATATATAAGACAAATTAACTGTGTACCGACAATGGGTGAGCAATCTTTTAACCATATGAGGCCAAAATCCATAATGGTGGTGGTATTTGGATGGTCAATACAAAATGTCTGTTTACAGATTCAGTTTACGGTCTTTGACTGTGAGATACATTTTCTTTATTTCTGTCAATTTTATCTGTGTAGCAAGAATAAGTAGCAGTGGTTAAAGCTTCTTGTCATTAATATTAAAATGATGAAATGAGGCTTATTGGCTATAACAAAAACTTGTCCACTCTATAATATAATTTTTCTTGATTTCTGTTTTCAGAACTAAATATATACTTAAGATAGAAATAAAGGTTTGTGTTCACAAAAAAACCCATATCATTTCATATGCAAATCGTCTCTCCAAATAATTGAAAAACTAAATCATCTTTTTATTGTAATCATTGTTCAATCAACCCACGGTATATTTCACTCATAATAAGAAGAATCATATTATACTGCCACCATTATACAGTAAAACCTTGTTATACTGCCACTATTATACAGTACACAGCTATACAGTAAAACCTTGTTATATCGCCACCATTATACAGTACACAGCTATACATTAAAACCTTGTTATACTGCCACCATTTTACAGTACAACCCTGTTATTCTGTCACCATTATATAGTAAAACCTTGTTATACTGTCACCATTATATAGTAAAACCCTGTTAAACTCATTATTTTACTGTAAAACTTGGTTATACTGCCACCATTATTGTGCAGTACACAGCTATACAGTAAAACCTTGTGATACCGCCACTATTATACAGTAAAACCTTGTTAAACTGCCACCAGTATACAGTTAAACCCTGTTATTCTGTCACCATTATATAGTAAAACCCTGTTAAACTGTCATTATTTTACTGTAAAACTTGGTGATGCCGCCACTATTATACAGTACACAGTGATACAGTAAAACCTTGTTATACTGCCACTATTATACAGTAAAACCATGTTATACTGTCACCATTTTACAGTACAACCTTGTTATACTGCCACCATTATTCAGTAAAACCCTGTTAAACTATCATTATTTTACTGTAAAACTTTGTGATACTGCCAGCATTGTGCAGTAAACCTAGTTATACTGCAACCATTATACAGTAAAACCTTGTTATTCTGTCACCATTACACAGTAAATCTTTGTTCTACTGCCAACATTATACAGTAAACCTTGTTAAACTGCCAACATTAACAGTAAAACCTTGTTAAACTGCCACCATTAACAATAAAACCTTGCTATACCGCCAATATTGTAGAGTAAACCTTGTTATACTGCCATTATTGTAAGTTAAACTTTGTTATACCGCCACCATTAACAGTAAAACCTTGTTATACCGTCGCTATTGTGCAGTAAATCTTGTTATACTGCCACCACGATACAGTTAAACCTTGTTATACTGCCATGTCTGTACAGTAAAACCTTCTTACACTTTTGTTATATTGCTGTCATTGGTCCATCGACAAATTGACATTATATATAAGGTTTGTTGATGTATCGAACAATACGTAGGGATTGTAAAGAAAACGGGAAATCTAAACGTCTGGTGGTTAGAGATGAAACAATAAAAGCACAGAAACACTATAGTGAGGTTGTACTGAGACTATAAACAATCAATGTCCAGTACGTGTGGTGGTTAGAGACTATAAACAATCAATGTCCAGAACGTGTGGTGGTTAGAGACAATAAAACAATCAATGGCCAGGACGTGTGGTGGTTAGAGACTATAAACCATCAATGTCCAGTACGTGTGGTGGTTAGAGACAATAAAACAATCAATGTCCAGTACGTGTGGTGGTTAGAGACTATAAACAATCAATGTCCAGTACGTGTAGTGGTTAAAAACTATAAACAATCAATGTCCAGTACGTGTGGGGGTTAGAGACTATAAACAATCAATGTCCAGTTCATGTGGTGGTTAGAGACTATAAACAATCAATGGCCAGTACGTGTGGTGGTTAGAGACTATAAACTATCAATGTCCAGTACGTGTGGTGGTTAGAGATTATAAACAATCAATGTCTAGTACGTGTGGTGGTTAGAGACTATAAACAATCAATGTCTAGTACGTGTGGTGGTTTAAGATTATAAGCAATCAATGTCCAGTACGCGTGGTGGATAGAGACTATAAACAATCATTGTCCAGTACGTGTGGTGGTTAGAGACTATACACAATCAAGGTCCAGTACGTGTGGTGG